TTTTTGAGTGGTAACTCAAAAATACTGGTCACAGCCAACGGGTTGTTGCATTCTTGTATAAGAGAGGTCTAAAGGACGTCTGACGCACTTTTTGGCAATTGCTGTTCCCACACCAAAATATAGGGCTAAGCTGTGGCTCACCTTGAGTACCTGAAGACAACACCATTATTGAACTATTCTACCCAGTCACTGACCTTAAATTGTAGAATATGATAAATAACAGCAGCAATCCAGGATGTTTTATGTCATGCATTAATCCAGAAGTATATTAATTTCTGGGCTACTCAGGACCATTAAAACCTCAATTTTTGCTGTTTGTTTTCCCTGCTCCTGCCCCAATGGCCTGTCACTCATACTCTATATTGGTCACTCTAATGATATATTAGGCAATCATCATCAGATGGCTGAAAATCAAATGATTGTAAAGAAACAAACAACCTCACTTGGAGGTTCAAGCCCTTTACTGATGCCGACACAAAGCACCAAAACACAATACTCAATGCTGTACTCATCCCAGGCCTGCTGTTGTTAACCTAAACCACCGGGAGTCAGCAACGCTGCATTAACTCATTCAGAAGGTGCAAAGCTGCAGTAAATTCACAAAGCAGTCAACCCGCAGCTGCATCTGGAGCGCAAAAGTAAACAAACACTGTTTGTACAAGAATGCATTGCACAAAGCTGCTATATTTGACTCTTCTCTGCCCAGAAACCGGTTTACTATGATAACAGTCATTCATAAACTCCCATGTTATTTGTGCTTTTTTTATTGATAAAATAAACATACAATCACAGGTTGAATTCTACTAGATGTAAAACATAATTCAGCACCTCAAGGTGTAGTGGCATCCATATTAAAATAGATTCAAATAGCTGAATGTTCAGCGACTTCCTGGATACAATAAATGACCTAAAAATCAAAGATGTGAATACAAAAGTAACCTACAATATAGATAGAAAAATAAATCAACTGAAGACAACACTGCTGAGCAGGTGACCAGAAAACTGATTGCAAACTGAGTAAAGATGTGCCGTTAAGTCATAAATGAATAGATAAAAGCAAGCCGTACTTTATTTCATATTTGGCTAAATTCTATCCAACATATAAAAATCCCATGCGAGTTGTGTTGCTTCGAAACATTATATATGAGGTCAAAAGATAAAAACGGTATTCTGCGCAGTTTCTCGATTGGTAATCACTGACCAGTTTTGGATAAATATGGCACAGGGCGATTCCTGTAACTCATTAACTATGTTAAATGTTCCATTGCAGCAAGCAGGACTTTGACCCATGCAGTCGCCATATCTGTCTTTGGTACCTGCACACATAATGCAGAGTGATGCAGGATTGAGGGCACTACTTTATATACAAAAAAAAAGCCTAGTCACAAAACATTACTGGAGAAAAGCACAAGAATCCTACAGTATAGTGTGCACACTTCTAAATATGATTACGCATCAGTAATTCTTTGCCAACGGTCGGTAACTCCCAGTAGCAGTGTGACACATACAGTGATGTATGTTAGTTCACAGTGTGCGCTGCTTCACTGTGCCTGCAGAGCCTGGACGATGTTCAAGCCTGGGCCGGTGGGCAACGTCCAGCCGTCCTGGCCCTGGTGGTTCTGTAGCAGGCAGTACAGCTGCTTTAGATGGGTCACTATGTTGTCTTTGATATCTGGGATTGAGATCTGCAGGCGAACGCTGCCGCTGTCGAAGGACCGTGTGTTGTCTCCAGAAAACATCTCGCTTATCATGCGGGCCACCACTGGAATGATCTGTAGGACAGAGGACCAGCATGAGTCACACAGTCAGAGACTCTGAAAAGAGTGCAGCTAATTGTCTTGTGGTTCACATGTTTACACAAATAAATAGCCATTATCAGTATGAAAAGACAAAATATAAGTGTGATGTGGAAAAAAAAGTGTTAAGAACTGCAGCTTAAGTTATATTGAACAGCTTTTATTTCCTTTAAATAATAGAAATACATGTTTAAATAAGAATAGATTTTCTGGTTGTGTCATTTATATAAGATAACCAACATGCAAAATATTTTTTATGCATTGAAATATTTCCATGCAGATTACTATTCTTATTGTGTTAACTATTCTTCCAACCGTTGTAAACAGAGATAAAGTTTGTTCATGCATTGTGATGACCACAAACATTCATTCATTCTTGTTAAAAACAACGATTCTCACCTGAACCATGATAAGTTTCCTCTCTATGGGTCTCCCATCGGGCCACTCCTCTCCAAAACACAGGTTGATTTCAAACTGAGGAGGGATTGGTGTCTGGCCACGCTGGTGTGCTATCACTCCTGTACACCACACAAACAGTTAAAAGTTATTACTATTAGAATTCCTTCTAAGAGATTTCATTTTTTTAAGAGCTCCAAAGACCATAATCTTAATAGAATCTGCATTTAACTCAAGTTGTTTTTCTAATTTTCCCAATAAAAGTGAGAATTCTACTTACCACCGAGAAAAGACTCCAGGCAGAAGAGTTTGATCTTCCTCTGGCGCTCTATAAGATTTGGAGCAGCTGGGTTTGGAGCACAGGGACCGGACCAGTACACCTTGCACTGGCAGAGACGCACTGCGTAGATATCGTGACCGCTGACCTCCAGGATCAGGCCTCTGTCCATCACATCCAGCAGGCGGTTAGTGAAAACCCGTTGCTTGTCATTGGTAATGTGCTCTGTGGTCGGAAAGCGTAGCTGCTCCAGGTTCACCGGCCCGAACAGCTCCTCCTGATTGACCATGGGGCCGAGGTCTCCGTAGAACAGCCTGCAGCCCTGCGGGTTACTGACGTTCGCTGTGGGACAGATCTCCTTCCCTCTGTAGTGGAACTGCACCTCCAGGTCTGTCACTGGGTCAGAGAGAAATGTAGAAACGCGTTAAAACCGTGTTTGACGTACAACTGAAGTTATGCCTTAAAACAGGGACGGTTCACCCAAACAACATACACTTACAATTTCTCCCACTGTATCTGAAGTGCCCCCGGAATTTGGAGACATTAAGTGTTGGCCAGCTTTTATTCAAATATTCTATAATTTTCTGACTGACAATGAATTGAGTAATGGCTGTGTGGCGTAGACCTCAATTATTGTCACCAATAAGACACATTATTCCACATTACGATGAACTTGTGCGTTGTAGTTTAGTTGGAGTCAATCTCACGCAAACCCTCCTGCTGCTGTAAACACTCAATCACAGCAAAAAATAGTCCCCAACAAAAGGGACTATTGTTTAATAAAAACTACAATGCCCAGTTGTTTTAGGAAAATACAGACTGTGTTGAGCTATAGTAGCTATCCCCAATGTTACAGCAGGTGTCCCCACACTGCATCAGCCCGTTGCACTAAATCTATCTGAATCCACCGACTGGAAAACAGGAAAAAAAACAACAGTTGTGGTTTGCGGTGGTCTGTCTCTTTAATAATGTGTGGTGTTCACTGGATTTCAACAACGCTATAAGAAGTGCTTACTCGGCAGGGAACTGATCCACATTTCTGGAGAGGCAAAAAAGGCATCGGGTAGAGGAGGGGGCTGCATCGAGTGATCCGGCAAGGGAGCAGGAGGCAACAGGGGAGTTGGTGTCATTTCCACATCCACAGGCTCCTCTTTAGGCCAGATTTTAACTGACTCCTCTTTGGGCCAGACCTCATTTGAAGGGGGACAACTGGAAGGCTGCGAATCTGAGCTAGGAGACCACATAATAAGAGGAGAGGGACTGGTGCCTAAATGAGGAAAGAGAAAAGAATGAATTGGCTGAATTATCAAAAAACTAAATTTACCACTTTACTTTTTTGGATGTACTGCCAGGAAATAGGCGTAATGTGTGAGGAGAAATCATTCACCATTAGATGGGTATGGAGGGAGAGACTCTGGGGTATCTGGCATATCTTCCTCACCACCGTCGTCCTCATGTGGAGTCCAAGAACCAGCGTCTGAGGAGGCTGCGGGGTAAGTATTACAAAATGAAGTGAAATGAAGGACAAATTGTAATTGAGGATGAACAAAGCATCCAGCTCTTATTTACCTTGGTTAATGGGAGGCGGTGGGATGTCGCAGACATCATATATCTTCAAAGGATTCATGGGAATCTCTTTGGTGCCATCGAAGACCAGGTTGAATTCTCTGCTTTTGTTCAGGGCACATCGAAGCTGAGCTTTCCACTTTGCAGGATCAGGTTCATCAATTCCCTCTTGAAATTTCCCGGTCTCCACAGCCCACGCCTGGAGGAACATTTAAACATACAGAGGTATCAATATCACAGTCCTGTTTTAAATATTTCAGATTCCTGCACAGGATCCACATAATTATACCTTTTTTGTGAGGTATCTGTCCAAAGAAATATCCAAGATAATGGACAATGATGTCATCATGTACATTAATGTGCATGAAACATGGTTATGAATGTATTTATTTAGCTATACCAATACATTTGGAAAGTGTAAGCGACTCATCTTTATCATGAAGCATCTGTACAATGTGTCACCCATGTATCTTGTCAGTACAAAGAGGTTCCGGTTTTACTAACGTTACACCAAAACACTACAATTTCACTTTCCCATCTAGTTTGGCGTGTCCACAGGGACGAAGACAACGCAATGCACTCATACAAGGAATGTACACAGACCATGTATAACTGCATACGATCTCATAGAAAAACAAGAGCAAGAAGTCCCAACATCACCGTTTCTGATCTTTAATTACAGCCACACAAATACAGGCCCAGTGCTAGTTGTCCTATCTACTACTTACCTGCATTACACCAGGGCTAATGTCAGAGGCTTGACAGAGGTATGTGTAAGTCGGTTGCAAAACCAGATGTTGCAAGCATATTTAGCAGGTAAGAACCAGTATAGGCCTTGCAAAATATTGTCTAATATTGACAATCTACAAGGTGTCTGCCTCGGGATGAACAAACACGTCACTATACATTCCTCTTTTCGCGGAACTTTTTTTTTTTTTTTAATCATCATGACATCTGATGGCTTTTAAGAGCCCATAACCTTAAATATGGTGTCCTCGTCCTCGTGCTGGGGTGTGTGCCGTGTGGCGTGTTTCCATGGGATCCTGAAGCGCATGGCCTCACGGTCAATCCACACCAGACCTGGGTATCGCCCGCAGTCCACCTGAGCGACCAGCCAGGGCTTCAGACGGACACGTCGAGGGGTGACCGACATCCTGGCTGAAAAGACAACACAAACCGGTGAGTCCCACGGTTGATTGCTCCTGTGAGACATTTTTTTTAAACGGACAGAGACCTTTATTAAACTCAGTGACAGACAATGACGCGCAGGAGTGTTCACACGTCCGGGATATTCCAAACATTTTAAAACGGCCACACTTTGACAGGCGGAATGACCTTTGACTTATTTAGTTATTTGTCATATAATCATAGCTGCTTACAGGTTAGACTGCGCATGGTAGGTCAGCATATCTTTACATGTGAATATGCAGTGAAATAGATCCAAACCTCAAATAGACAAAGCGACCAAACGCGATACTGAAGAACGACACACATACCTGTGGCAAACCAGGAAGTTGGCGAAGTCTGTCCTCGTCGGCCTGCTAACCAGCAGCCGGAGATAAAACCGCGTTTCCTCTGTAAATCGGCTGCAGATTCCCTTAAAATAAGAAAAACCCTCACTGATATTAACACGGACGAAGGCGGGCGCGAATAACAACAAATGAATCTCGGAGGACTCCGAAGCGCTGTTGTTGTTCACTCCGGCTCAGCCCGTCCCCTCTCCTCACCGAAACTCAGGTACGTGCGTGACGTCACGCCGGTGACACACCTTTTTTTTGAGCAGCTGAGTGGATAGCTTTTTGTGGAGCACGTGGACTGGACACTATATTTTTCCATCTGAGCATCATTTTCATAAATGTTTTTTGTCGATATATACGAGCATTTATCATAAAGGCACAATGCACACAGACATTTCAGAAACACTTTTGTTTTCTCAAGGGAACTAAAGTACCGACTAGTTCTTTCACAAGAAGGATTGGGAGGTTGGGCCATCTTTATTTTCACTGATGTTTATGCAATTCTTTTTTTTTTTTTTTTCAACGAACATCTTTATATTTTTCTGCATATTATTTGCTTTGAACAGTGTGAGAAAAACACAAACTGTGTTATCCTAAGGGTTTACTATGAGGGACCTACGTATTAGAGCAAAACACTACACACTGGCAGACAATAGTAATGACTCAGCCGGCAGGCAGAGTTGGAGTTTCCACAGTAAATAACAGTTCAATCATTGTGAAGTGGTACAAGACGGTGGACGGTTGATGATGATCTTGTCACTAAGAAGACAAAGCAGCCAGACAATAACAAGCCACTCCCTGAAACTACTCATGGCTTTCTCTGAGTGCATGTGTCTGACACATGCAGCTGTACACATTTGCCTTTGGGTTTCCTGGTTTCGACATAATATCCACAATGAGTCTGTCGCCATGTGTGTGATGCTAATTATTTGCATTCTGAAATAGATGGCTTTCTGAGCCGATAGTGGCTGGGGTCCAAGTGCCAGCTGTAGCATCCCAAAGGATGAAGAACTCCCTGCAATGATGTGTGAATAGTTCCCAACCTGAGGGTCAGCATCCCATAAAGTCCCAACATAAATTTAACATAAAGGGGACTGTAGAGGGGTCACCACATAAAAGAAAACATCCCCCACAAAATGAGGTAAATTTAATCAGACTTTCCTTAAATATTGTCCATCTTGTTGTAGGCCTACTCATCTCTCTTCAGGTTACTGAAAATGAGTCAAATGAAAAAGGCAAAAACTACCAGACTGTCCACATTAATGTCATTGCCTGTGATGAGGGGTAAAGAAAAGATATTACTTGATTTTAAGTCACAAAATACCTAAATGTTTCGTAACCAGCTACAACAAAGTCATCAAAAACTTGTGGAGGACTCTATGTGAATTTCTCCAGTCATTCTGTCAGTCAAAGACAGTTAGTACTAGAAGACCTAATAGAGTTAATAGAAAATGAATGAAAACAAAGAATGAATACAAATATATCACTTACTGACATGTCTATAAAATAAATGTTGGGCATGCTCATCGCTTAACACTTTACAACAACATTTATTTGGTCACACAAAGGTGCTTTCTATCTGTTCCATGTGTTCACATACCAGAATTAAGCATTTATCTTTCCTTTGCTTTCCTTAAACATAAACTATCCAGCCAGCAAACCTCATAGCATCATAAACTAATCTAATGTGGAACTTTAATTTAGGAAAAGCTAATCCTAAAAACCTAAATCTAATGCTGTGGATTGAACAGCATAATGTTTTAAAGCTTACCTGGGTTGTGAAAAAGCTGCAAGTTTGCTTTAATTAAGTGATCGGTTTAAAAGGACAACTTAAGGGAAACAATTGGAAACACACATAACTTAAAACAAACAGTCAAAATCCAAATGGAAAAGGATTCAGACTAGAGGCTGATTAAAGAGGAAAGGCACATGATTTTGATGAATGTACTTTTATTGTTTATTGTAAAATATACATTAGAGCTCCTGTAAATCTACAGTGTAGTGGTAGTAGTAGCAGCAGGTATGGTTTTGCATCTAGTTCATTGAAAGCATTAAAAGGCTCCACAAAAATACATGCATCTCTGTAATGGCTTGGAAGAAGGGAATCTCGGATGGCTCTTTACAGTTTATAAAACACTCCAATTAGGAAGTTATCGGGTCTGTTGTTTTCCCATAAATACATAAAGTTCAATATGTATTTAATGTCCAACAGAATATGATGGCTAAAATGAATGGACATTGGACAGAATTGGGGTTGATGGAAAGTCTTTGCTGGCTCATGAATATGTGAAGAAAAACTAAACCAGTGCAAGCGTGCTGCACTTTGACAATGACCCAGAGATTGGTCCACATCCGTTAGTCCTGATGATTTGTGGGTTATGCTGAACCCACCTTTTCAGCTGTGGCTCAGTTATATACAAAAATGTATTGGGGTCCATACAGTTGGAAGTATTAGATGTTGGTCCTCATCCCCCTTTGAATTTTTTGGACAATGTGCGTGAGGTCCAAACTCTCTGTTAGTGTCGTCAGCAGCATGCTGTCATTTTGAACCCCCTCCATGAACTCTTCATAGGAAAGTTCCCCTGGAAAAAACAAACACACACTCTGAACTTAAATCCCCTCTGCTGGTGATAACAGAGATTCATATTTAGTCGATAATTTGCCAGGGTTGAAGATATTCAGTTTTTTTTTCCGTCCACTCCTCCAACCCAGTTGGTGCTCATTTTCTGGCCGAAGATTTTGCCCTTAGCCCTTACCATCTCCATTGATGTCAATCTCGTCAAACACCATGTTGGCAAAGTCCTCCGATGACACCTTACTAGGAATCCCATTGATTGCACGGATGGACTAAACATAACACAAAGAGAGGAGATCATGTTAAAAACTGAGACATGCAATTGTTGCCTACCTTTCTTCAACCAGTAGATGTCAGCTAAGTGTTAGCTTTTTGCCTCTGCACCTTGTATCACTGCAGTGTGTTCTACGCTCCTCTAAGCCGGAGGTGGGATACCTGTGCCATACCTCAGTGAGACCCGAGAGGTCTGAGCAGATGGTTTCAGGATAGTACTTGGGATTTACTTGGATCTGTTACAAAGCCATGCGTCACGTTTCAACATGAAGGCTCATGCCCACCTTAATTATCTGAAGCAGCTCGTCACGGTCGATGCATCCACTCCTATCTACATCATACAGTTTAAAGTTCCAGCGAAGCTTCTGCTGCACTCCTCCCTTCAGCACCAGGCTCAGAGCAGCTACATACTCCATAAAATCAATGAAGCCATCCTACAAAAGAGAAGGACATTATGGACATTGTCTTGAGCAGAGCAGTGTGGCATTCAATGTATACTCCTGCCTCATTCAAGTCTGTGCAGAAAACTGTCAAATTGTGGAATCAAGGTCTGTTGCCCACCCATTTTATAACGTATTTAAATGTAATGCACACTGATCTACACCTCCATGAAAAAGAGGTTTCAGCTGTCTTGTTTTCAGGTTAGCATCATTGGGATAAGCCCCCTCTCTAATAGAAGTGTCTCTCCGTCAGATTTCTATTGGCAGAAACAATCTCGTAAAAACACTGGCAGGCACTGAGGAAAAACACAGTCACTGTTTTTGAAAATTGAGATGAACATGACCCAGTTTCTCTGCTCTTACAGTTTACCATAAAGACTGAATAGACATGAAATAGATGTAGCGGGTGGAAATAAAGTACACGTAAACAAATATCAATCTTTGTGGGTTTTCTGATGAGGAAGATGATCATTGTAATCCTTATTTGTTGGTAATAGTAGAAGCAGATAATCAAGATGATAGATATATTATGAATATGATCTGGATTATGAAATAATAGCAGCATTATCACATATATAAGTAAAAGTAATGAGAACTAAATTTCTGTCTTTTTGTGCAAAGGATGCTTTTTAAAAACATTTCACCATCAATCCTATTCGGTAAGGATGAAAAGCAACTAATGGTGAGCATACTTAAAGATTCAGCTTTACTTAACATTAAAATGTATATATTACCCGGCCAGAAGATTATAAATCCACTTACATTATCCATGTCAAACGTTGTAAACATGGTCTCAACATAGGCGTTGGATGTATCTGACAGGTTCCTCAGACCAAATAACTGTTTGAACTCGTAAAAGGTGAGAAGTCCAGATGGGTAGTCGGTCATGAATTTTCTGTACCACTGATGACTCTCACAAGCTTGTAGTTCCTCCATAGCCGACCCAGTGCAGTTTCCCATGTCTGTTTATCTAAAAAAACAAAAAAGGGATATAAGAAATCCTGTAAAAACCAGAACTAGAATGTATCGCATCCGCCGAACATCCGTGCATGGCCGGTATGCAGACTAAAAACAAGTAGCAGGATGCAGTGTGTGTGTGAGCCAATCATCCTTCTGTGCGTCTCTGTGATGTTGAAGGCTCAGAAATTGTAATCCACTTTGCTTGCAAGCAAAGACTTAACTAACAAAAACAACCTCGGAGCAGAAATACTTCCTATTGTACAAGATGACACCAGCTGACCAACAAATGATATCAACATGAAAATATATATTAGATATATTCATATATGAATACATATGAATCAAATATCAGTTACCAATGCTCATTAAGTTTCTACGTAGGCATTATTATGCTTGATGAACTCTGCAACACGTATGGATTCATCATTATTACTCAACTATGTGTTCAACTGTCCATATTTAGTTTGGTGTGTATCTTTTGGGATAGATAACTACTAATCTTTCCTTGTGAAAGATTATCCAACACGTCTCCTTAGCAATTATTTCGGTTGTTAGTGGCCAATAATAAGCCCACTAAGCATATGTTTTCTGTATTTGTGAATGTATTTAAATATTTATCCCCCCATGTTGCTGTTTTTTTAATGCTTCTTTTTGTTCTCTCCCTGTTTTGCATTATTGACATGCTGAGGTAGCTGTATATACTCAGGATTTTGTGTTTCTTAATTTGATTTGATGTATATGCTTTCCTGTTGTGTTCTGTTCTGTTGTTTCATAAACAAGACTCTACAGCCACGCTGGCATCTCTGTATTTCTCTGTATGCTAACATGCTTACGATGATGATACGTTTAGCATGTATAATGTTTTCCTTTTGCACCGTGTTGGTGTAATGTGTTATCTAACATTCACTAATTAGCACTAAATAGGAAGTACCATAAATAAAAAAGTAGGGCTTATTGTATGTGGATGTTCACCTGCTTCACTGGCCCTATCCTTCACTGGGTTGTGTTCTTTAATGTCAATGTGCTGTCATTATCTCGCAGGTGAAATGGGAAAATGGGAGCGAGGAACATGGTCTCATGATTTTCAGAGGGCCTGGGAGTGAAGAATTCGGTCAGTCAACTCAACACTGTGAATGTGTTACACCTCTGTAACCGCAGACATTGACATGAACTCAACCTCACAGCGAGCGGGTCATCGACACATAGGAGACAAGAGAAAGTAAACTCTGAGGTACGTATGGGTAAGTAAACAAGGAAGCCAACCATAACATGCAGCATTAAACATTTTTTTAAATACACACACACATACAGTACATTGTGTTTGGACATTAAGTTATTAAAGCTCTTTGGGGCAAAGGTCAGTTTAAAATTTAGCCATATTCATAAACCTTCTTTACTTAAGACTACTCACAGTGATCTCTCAGCTTACCCTTGCTTCATCGGGTTGATGGCACTGTGTCACTGTGTTGCTTTTGACCCTCTTAAAGCTCCTCCATCTGCTGTCAGTAATGCGGCTGCTGGTTTGTTTGACTGAACCAGGATGTCAAAAAACGGTGAACATCCCTTTCTACTGAAAACATTTGATTTTATGGTCCTTTTATGGACTTTTGAGTGTCTTTAAAAAGAGGGTTTCTAACAAGAGGCTAAATTAGACTACTGAACGGCATCACGACGAATAGTCAGCCTTCCTAGCCTCGTTGTGTTTACTCGCACTCGTGCAACTGTGGTTTGTTTATAGCCTCATGTTAGCTTTTTACTTCTGCTGATTGCATTCAAGCTTCAAAAATCATAAAAGTGGTGTTCAATTGTTGATTATCTTGCTGAACGAGATTGATTTCTTTGCCACAGAGCTTATTTTCTGCAATAATCCAAAATCCAATGGGAATATCTTATTGGCTTTTAGTAGAGGGAAACAGTGCGACGCTAACTAGGGGTTGGCCTACAGAAATAGTCACCCTATATAGATAAGAAATAAACACACAGGGCAATTGGAATACTTATGTTGTTAAATACAATGTAATGCAATATATTAAAGTTACAGGTACAAATGTAAACATGCAATCAACACATACATAAACAAACATAACTTAGATATGCTCACAGACCTCACAGTTTTCATTGGAAGTACTCTCTTCGGAAGGAATACTGCTGACAAAAATCTTTATAGAGATCTGTAAAGATGAAACACACTGTAACTGCTGTCATCTTAGTAACTGCACAAATTCTTCCACACAATGAATCTGGTTCTGGTATCATCTCTAGTTTCGTTTCCATTTACAACTGATTTATATCTCGTCATGATGGAATGCAAAATAGTTATGGACTTCACTTCCTTTAACGTCAGTGTCTTTAAACCAATAATGTCTGCTGACTTTGTACTCACTTTGGATTGTTATTGCACAGACCAGGGCCTGTATGATTTATGGATAAAATAAGAAGGATACAAAGGCAAGTAGTAGTTTATCAATAACAAATGTTGTATAGTGGTGCATGTATTGGCATTGTCTGGCACCAGGACACAGCCATGTTTTCTATAAAACATGACGTACTATTTTTATCAACTGTGTTCATATGCAACTAAAAGACTGCCATTAATGAATGAGCATAATGTGTCAATAAATAACTGAATACATGCCTGAATAATTCAATTCATAAATGGCCCAAAGAGCTCGTGATGTGCATTTCACAATGTCGTTGGTGGAGTTGAACTCTACAATATGTTCAGCACCGGGAAGCAGCTAAAGCGCCAAAATGCAGCACATTCTTCACATTTCAGCCGGCATCAGTCAGCATGACGAACTGGATGGACTGGTGTGGTTGTCTCCAGGGCAACTGAAGTGACATAAACACTGAGTGAAGGAAAGGATTGACCGGTTCTCTGGATAGACGATCATTATATAACCCGCTCTCATGTAATTAGAGGACAAGGCCAAAACTGCTCCGATTTAAACTCACCTCACTAAACACAGATTATTAACTTAATAACACGGATATTTAAATGTAAGTATGTCATATTGACATAAATCTGATGAAGAAAATAGATCAATTGGCCTTACTGGATTATTACTATATTAGTAAGATTCATGGATCCGTGCAAACCATAGTCATCATAAAAACCAGTGGAAGAAGCATTCAGATCCTTTATTTTACCAAACACTTACTTGACACAATTGTCTTACTTAACTGTACTAAGTAAAATAAACAGTGAATACATGGTTTAAACTTTTGGCAAATAAAATAAATTAACTCACGGTTACTATCTTTGCATGTTTTTATACTGTATTTTTATAGTGCCAACATATATTTAAAATAATGTATTTATATCAAGGTATTTAGACCAAAGTAATGGGAATTTGTTTTTATTGAATCAGATCTTCATATTTTCTTCCTTGATATTACATATATAAGTGTGGAGTAAGACGTTTTAGGTAGTCTGTTAAATATATTTAGTTCCATGTACTAAATTCTAATATATGATATGTAATACATACGTGTACATACATAAGTAACTAGTAACATACAAGTAGTGAAGTAAAACGTACTATACATCCCTCTGAAATGTAGTGGAGTTGAAGCAGAAAACTGAAATGATCATGTGAAGTAAAAAAAACCTCTAGGTTATACTAAGATAGAATAAGTAAATGTACTTAGTCACCGTGTGTTACTGGTCATATCTTTGTGTGGCAAAGATCTTCATTTACAGTCGGTGGGTGCTGCTGTAGGTTCGCTGTCATGGGTCAGCTCACTCTGAGCTTTAGAGGAGTCTTGATCCTCTTTGACATCAACTTCACAGTTATCCTGCTTATGGAGGTCGCATGCTTCACCTTCCTTCGGTAAATAACTCCACAGAATCTGTTTCAGTAAACAACTGACACAGATTTATGCAAAAAGGGGATTCATAGCAAAAACTTAATGTTTCAACCATAATAAATGAATAACTGAGCAAACACCCAGAGGGATAAATAGCATAACACTAACTGTTAAGGCTTCTGACAAACTCTACTTAAAAAAGAATCAGTTACAGGTAAAAGACATCACACATTAAATATTTTTCAAGTAAACACACATTAATATTATCAGTGAGTACTTATCAAAAGTACTCATTCTGCGGCCCTGTCAGTGTTATGTTAGTATATTAATGTGATTATTATTATTGATGTATTACATGTAAGCATTACCTAATGTGTTAGTTGGTTGAAGTGGATTTTATTGCTTCATATACTTTTGGGTAGTTTAATAATAATAATGCAATATATGTTATAAACTGATCATAGGTTTTGTATTTCAAATCTTGATCATCAGACTATAGCTGTAAGTAAAACAAAATACAATGTTTCCTTCTGAAATGTGGTGGAGTATAGAAGTGTAGATTATGATGGATAAGTTGTATTTAAGTAAAGCATTTGTACTTTAGTTAGCTAGTTACTTTCTATCTGGATCACTGCATAATACTGACTTCGACAATCGTTATAGAAATAAAGTTTTACTTATGACCAGAATGATTATGACACATAGACACATTAAAAGCAGAATAGCCTTTTTATTTCCCAACATCTTACTTCCTGTAGAAAGCCCCTTGGTGAACCATACAAAACAAAAAAAACTTAATGTGCTGCAAAGTTAAAACTGTGTTCCTAATCATGTTTCTCATGGGCAGCCTTATCAAATTGGCCTCGACAAAATGAAACACTGTGACAATCACTCAGCACATACCACAGAGCTTTGAAGGCTGGCTGACTGCACGAGCAGTTAGTCAGTGCGCAGGTGAGATTTGTTCTGGAATGAGAAAAGGAGAGTCCAGGGCCTCACCTGTTGGGTGTGTATAACTACGGGGAGGCGCAGTGAAAGAAGAGTGGGCGGGGTTAACTCCATTTTTTCTGTATGGCCCAAATAGTTTGTACCAAATTATTGGAGTCGAGTTTACCTGGTGCGCGGTAGTGCACCTGTCACGAAACTAGCTCACCTGCTCTTTACCTCGGATTTACCTGTTGATTTATAATGCGCCAGTAATCCTGCCGTCCAGTCGTATCTACACGACAACTAATCAATAATCATGAAGAAGGGAAAGTTGAATTTTCTGGGTCGAAAGACCCAGTCTCTTTTCGACACCAATATTAAAATCAAGGACATGGGTGAGTAGCCAACACTGCCTATGGGGCTCATTGGTTATAATAGAAAATAAGCATTCAATTTAATGATTCACTGAAGAATAACACGACCTTTGTACTTGATGTTGACATGGACAAAAGTGTTAAAGCCACAGAGCTCCCATATGTAGACTTAATGGGCTGCCTGTTGATCCTAAAGCAAATCTCAACCGTATTCTATTATGTTTGATGACATGTCCTGATGTGCATGTAGCTGCAGGTGCCATCAATGTGATTCATCCATGAAAAACCTGTTCTCAAATGTTAAAGTCCATTCTTCTTGGTATAACTTTGACCTTGCATGTCTGGCTTCACACTGACCTGTCGTCCGGCAATTCTGTTCACTTTGTGCGATTCAGTGTTGCCTCAACAATGCTTGAAACAAGGCATTTTGTGGGAATATCTAGAATCTCCAACCAAGGAAAATTAGAGGAACTGAATATACCCAAGATATCATACTCTAATTGGAATTATGTCTAAAACAGCTGCATTCAGTGTGTTTGTTTCACTGTTTAGACACCGCCTGAGAATAGTTTATGTGAGTATGAGTCCGCTTTAATCATCTCAAAATGATATCTGGTGGTGATTGTGGTATCGCCTACACTTATTGTAAGTGAAAGATCCTGAAGGTGGTGATGATACAGATGATCTAAAAAAATCACATCACTTTTGTTTGAATACCATGAGGGATTGTAACGTTTATTAGTACTTTATGAACATATAACAGCATACTATATACACCATTACAAATGCGTCATCTCCCTTTGCTGAGGGAGACCATGAGATGCGGTTGAAAACTCTAGAAAAAGATAGTAAGTGGACCTTGAGTTCATTGTTTATTGCCAAACTATAAAAGCAAAGTGTGAAATGATGACCATATATTTATACAATGATATTGCTTAGCATTTGAGACCAGGAAAAGACATCTGAAAAGGTACACCATTATATTAGGGTAACACCAGACAATATGCACTCTCACATGTTGAGATCAGTTTACGGAAAAACTAACCAGGTGTCTGTGGCATTACTTTCATTTGATTGTCAAGAGCAGGAAACAAGAGGGATTGCTATGCAAAGACACAACTTGGGAGCGACTATTTGTCTATTTAAATGAAGCAGGTGCGCAATGGGGGAACTAATAATTAAGTTAGACTGGTTCAACACCAATGGCAATTCTTTCAATAGTCGTTCATACTGAGTTAATTCCACAGTTGTATTTGGCTTGTAACATGATGGTTATACTAAATGCGTAAAGGAAAAACACTTTGCGTTCCTTTTTTGTTCATAATGTGAAGCCTTTTGGTCTCTCTCCATTGAAAGATGTTGTTATTGAAGGCTGACAGAACATGCAGAGATTAAGTGCCTCTCAGTGTCAAGTTTCTTTAGGATAAGCACGAGGACCGACACTGGAAGGAACAGCGAAGGAATGTGCTGAAATTGTTTTCTCTCCAACCAACCTCAGTTTAGCAGAGTGGTGTCTCATTCTTTCACTTATAAAGTTGGATATGTTAAGTGATTGTGTCTTTGTCTCAGTGCTCATTCTACTCATCTTTACCTTTTTACAAGTGATATCTCAATTTGGAAATAGCATTAACATTATTGTGTCTTATGCTGCAAGTTGTGTTGTAGTAATGGAATTCAGTAACCAGCATAATGAAACTTTCACTTCAACTCAATGGTGGAGTATGAACAAAGATTGCAGTCATCTTTTCAGCTTCCTATAACTATTTAGTTGTCAACAACAAACCGGCCTTTTACAGCGCATGAGATCTCACAGTAGATTGTTAAGTTCAGTGACAACAACTAAGAGGACGCTTTGGTATGTCATTACCTGCCAAATGACCAGAATGTACTAATCTTCACCAGAGAGAAGAACAATAGACAGATGGACACGGTGCAGTTTTGGATGGTGAAATGTACTGGAGGCTTTCTGAATTTTACAAATTTCAAACACTGAAAAATGTATTTCTGGAAAAATATTCATGAATACTGCATACTGTCAGTAATGATGTGAATTTATTAAATCAAAAACTATCTGCCCGTGTTAAACCGTGTCTCACACCAACCACATCGTTTGTCCTCTCTGGCCAAACCATTCTCAGAGCTTTCAGCAGAAATTAAATGGCTAAAAGCATGAAGAGGATACAAATCTTTTGCATTTTATTTCCTCAGAAAATGCAATGCCGGTGCTGGAGTCATCGGCAATCCCAGAGTCAGGAACTGCCAGTGTGCGGGCCAGACCAACTGTCAACCATCACACTGTGAGTACCTCAGTTAAGCTTCATGGTGCATGGCCTGAACATATTCTCATTTAACACTCAGTTTCAGACATTGGAAAACCATTAGATATACGTCACTCTGAGCTGACTCCACCGTGTCGTTTACATGCAATGTATTACTTCATCTTGTACTCTGTTATCTGCAGAGCTGCACAGATGCAAATGAACTGATAAAAGACAGTTTAGTGCTTGACTGTGTTTGAATCTGGGTCATCTTAAACAAGCACAGGGACAGGACATGTAAATCAACAAGTGTTTGTTAATCAATAATTTGTAATTTTGCCAGTTGAGTTTCTGTCCGTTTGTGTTTGTTTGGTGAGAGTCACTTTTAGTTCTAATAACCATAATATATCCTCATGCGGGAGTGCTAACACTGACACTGTTCTTTATATGCCGTAGGCTGTGAAAGATGGCATAACTGGTGGTGTAGTGATGATGTATAACATCACACAGTGGTGGAAAATAATTAAGTACATTAACCATAATAAGAACTTTAGCTTTTGATAATCAAAGAACATTTTGCTGATAATAGTTTTCTATTTTTACTAAAGTAGACTTCTACTTGTGATAAAGTATTTTTATAGGTACTTTTACTGAATAAAAGATCCCATGGCTGTCAGGCCTCCCATTATTTTATCATGGCGCAGATATAAATAAAGAGCTCCTTGCTGCTCTGGTTCCCACACCTCAAAATTTGGGAGTGTTCTGTGAATGTGGCATGTGTGGCATGTGTTTGACATGGCACACCTAGCAGCATGGGCAGGACAGCTGAGATGGCTGCGACAGATAAAAGTGAGTCATAGTGCAGGGAACAAACAGACAAAATCAAACTGGATCATATATGCCATCTTTACTGACACGCCCTCAACTTGTGGTGTAGTGTTCTTAATTTTCCAAGAAGCTACTCAAGTGTCCTGTGGGTTATTAGACAAGAGAGACATGTGTCATTTGAGGCATGACATCAGGCAGATTTCCAATTATTTTTAGTCTGGAACACAAGCATTTAAAGGGCTGAAAAGCAGTATACCAGCAACCTTTAGATCCTAAGTCATTACCAACCTTATCAATAATACATTTTTGAAGTGTAACTGGTGCGAGCTTGTTGCTTTATTGCATTAGCACATTACTGAAAGAGCCTGCATCACATTAACATCAAGAGGTACAGCAGTGAAAATATGTTTTGTGTTGCTGGAATGATCTTTTATTTTTTTTCATGTACCCTGTTAACTCTCATGGACATGTATTGTGTCAACACAGTCGGTGTTTATTTTTGGAGGTGTTTGGGCCATGACGAGAACAGCAAATCTCTCTCACGCACGCACCTACAAGCACACAGGTTTCTAAGTGACAGCCTGCCATTTTCTCAGCCAGGCCCACGTTAACACAATGTGATGAATAAAAGGTGTATCCTACATCATGAATCACTGAGTGCTCCTCATAAGAGAAGTATGTGTACGAAAATGATCCTTTCAAAATCTCCGTCACCGGTTTAATCATGGCAAACCTAAGAATAGCCTAAAAAAAGCACTTATTTGGAAACAGACATTACAAAGTCATACTTGTTTTAAAGGAATGTTTTTTACATTGTATTATATTCACTATAAATCATTATATATATATACATATATATAAATTGATTTAACTTGAAATTATTTGCAAATACAGCTATACATTAGGTTCTTCATAATACCAAGACCTGAGAGCCACTAAAGTTATCACTGACTGACTATTTTTTGTCGATGCCAGTAATGTAGTAAGTATTGGACATGTTCATCTGTTTTCAAGGTACAGTGAGCTCTGCAATAGTTGAGAACTGGTTTATTCACTCTAGGAGTGAATACCTTCCAGCGCCTCTTAACACGATGTAGACTTCATGTCATGTATACTGCTGTTCTTGAACCAAGCTTTTTTTCTTATGTCTCAGATGTTGAAATGTCAACATTTTGATGTTTTATTTGTTTTCACAGTCCTCATTCGACAGCTTTCAAGGGTTTGCCGTCCCGACACCCAAAGTCCCCCTCCTCCCCCCTGTCAACGGTCCAAAGATCAACGGTTCAGGTGAGCGTCTACCTATCGCAAATATGTACTTTAAGTTTAGCTTGGAAAACACTAGAATTTCATTATTTACACTCTGAAGGACCCAGATCATTTGCAATGTGCCTTTACTCTGACTCACTTGATGGATCACAGCAATCTAAATGTCTCCGTAAAGGGTTGAAAATGCAGGGCAGGTAAATGTTTGTTCAGGTTGTTGCTCAATAACCCTCCTGAATGTGTCCAAACCGCCATACCAGATGGCGAGCATATTTACAGAATGGGAGTGTTAGTATTAACAGAGTGGATATAATTTGTCTAATTTTAGCTGTGAGTAATTCTAAATTTATTATTCTGTCACTTGTTTATCTGACTTTAAACTAATTCCTTTCAGCTTGGGCCGGGCGATAATTAAGATTTTGACAGTTTATTGTCTTTTCTTGGAATCTTACTGTGATGAAATCATATATCAAAATATCGTGATAAACAATTATTATTTAAATTGATAATACCAAGCACATACTTACTCAAATCTATCAGAAAGTCTGGTTATTTTCCACTTAAGTTGATACTAAATGAGGAAAAACTCATTTGTCAAGTGTTTAATTCACACAAGAGAATAGAAAACCATGCGGTTATTTCATAAAGACCTTTTATTTATTGAATTACCAGAAAACATGCTAAATCATGATATATATCGCTGTCGAGATATGAAGTGATCGGAATAGAAGATTGTTGCCGTTTTGCCCAGACTTGATTTCAGCAGTAAACATTGTTGATTCTTTATGATCTATCTATTTAAAAGATTAAGACTAAGGGGGTGAGCTAGGCTCCGATATTTTCTGTTGACCGCCAGATCCTACTCTAGTTATTCCAGCACAGTTATTGCTTATAATTATTTTTGTTTAATAAACAACACAAAACAAATCTGGACTAGGCATGGGTTGTTTGAATGATTCACACAGTTGGGCGCCTACTTAGCCTTTGAGCATCTTTTTTCAGGAGTCGCTACTTAACATTTCTCAATTGCTTGAAATATGATAAATATTGTAATTGCTCCTACTTCACAATGTACAACAGTGCTGAACTTTTCTCAGTTATTCTCTTTTTTCTTTCTTCCCTTAGTTGGTGGAAATCACTTGTCCAATGAATCTGTTATATCTGTGCCTGGAATTTCTGTTCCTCCACCTCCTGCCATGGCTCCTCCACCCCCTCCGGGGACTTTTATCCCTCCTCCACTAGACTTCATGGGTGACCTGAACAGTCTTAATGTGGCACCATTTCCCTCTCTATCCATGCCCAATCCAAAACCGACCTCACTGGCACCATTCATGGAGGGGGAAGACTTAACCTTCAAAAAACCGCCACCAATGGCTCCACCAAAGCCTCCACCTACTTACTCCAATGGCTCTGCATCACCCGTCCCCAGTCCACCACCAGCCACAGTTCCTGAGCGTCCGATGTTCTCCCCACCACTGCCTCCTTCTGAAAGGCAACACAAGACTAATAAGAAACCACCTCCAAAACCCATTAGACTGTCCTCTATATCCAACTTAGACTCCCCACCAGGGACTCCTGCCCCACCTCCCCCCGTGCAGACAAACACACTGTCCTCTTTCAATCCCCAAAACACAGCAAAGCTTTACTATGTTCCTCAGACCTCAATTCTCAGTGGGTATGAAGAGCAAGACAAAAGACAAAAGCAGATGTTGCTCCTGGAAGATTCTGCGGCCGTTAAATCTGCCCCAGTTCTTGTCCAGGTGGATGGGAAAGCCCCTAAAGTGGCTACACCGTATAAACCAGCTCCCAAAGATGTACAGGAGCTGAAGGAGAACTTACAAATTCCCCAACCCTCTCAATCACCGCCTCCTGAGCCAAACAAGGAGGTTAAAAAAGAGATAGCTTCAGTACAGCCCGAAATAGACAAACCGCTCCAGACTCCACATCAGCTGCTGAAACTAAACAATACTCGGGTGAATTCAGAGCCCATTAATGACCAATTTGTAGAATCTCCAAGTCAAATTTGTAAATTCAGTCCGTTAATAGATCGTAAACTACGCAACCTGAAGGGTAGTGAAACCCACGGGGCACGAGATGGACCTACAGCGTCCCCACTGGCTCTTTTAATGGCGGCTAAAGAAAGAGACAAACATAAATCGAGTCACCCTCTGTCGCGGGAAAACAGCAGGAAAACGATTGAGCAGCCAAGTGCAAGCATTCACCCGAGTGACACCAATCCCAATTCATTTGTTGTCACCCCAAAGTCCAGCTCTTCCTCTACTCTAACATCTCTGGAAAGAATACAGGAGAGTCTAAAGTCTACCAGTCCTGCTGTACATACGCAAACCGTTCAGACTCCAGCAAAATCCAGCAGTCCTGCTCTGGTCGAGGATCCGATGCCATCCACCCGTTCAGCTCTCAGTAGGACGGCAGCATCCCCAAGTGCGACCCACCTGGTTGAGCAGAGGCTAAATGCAGTGCAAAGCCCCTCAAATTCTCAAAACACACAGCCTGAGGAGTTAAGTATGCCATTACTCCCTCCGCCGCCAGAGTTTGATGATTTTGACGATTTTGACGAGAATATGGAGCCGCCTCCTTCCGTTCCTCCACCTGACCCTCCCAAGAAAAAGGCACCAACACCAAATGTAATCCCTCTCCCTCCGTCTCATGTTCCACCTCCTCCCCCAAAACTCCCCCCAGCAGCTCCAAAACTTCCACCTCCTGACATCGACGTCAAACCAAAGTTTCAACCCCTGCAGAAACCCAAGGCGGCCCCTGCTCCGCTCCCATCCACTCTGTCACCCAGCCAGAGCACGCTCTTGAGCATCCTTCAAAAGAAGATGTTGGAAATGGACCACAAAATGGCCCCAGTGAACGAGGCAGAGTCCACTTCTGATGACTGGGGCTCCCCCCTGTCCGATGAGGACAATAAGGTCCCTGTTGTCCAGAGAGCCGCACGACAGAGCAAGAATAACCCCGTGGTCAACAAAGCAGCAACACTGAACATGCAGGAGCTGGAGAGTAAATTGGTCAGTAAATATCAGGAAACCTCTTCAGTGAAGGTTCCAGCCAGGTAAGAGTGCTCAAATATGACGTCTTCACTTTTCTGAGACAAAGAGCCCAGTGTCTGTGTACAGAATCAACTCATAATAATGAATATGTTTATCTTTTCAGCAACGGGACGCAGTCCAAACATCAGCATGGTATGACCTTTACTGTTCGGCCTGGAACCAAGCAGCCCATTACTCTTGTCAGAAAAGGGGATCCGTAAAGAGACGCGTTAAAGAGATAGGTGTTCTTCTGTTTAGCACACATCGCACGTGATTGGATCATGTGTTTTTGCATCAGAAGGAATTTGTACATTGGAGGGGAAAAGCACTTTGAACAAATGCTACGAGCAAGTATGTTAAGCATGTCTAATAGCAATGGCCTGCTGAGTTCTGAATGTATTTCTCAATCTTTGGAGAACACACTATCACTGTCAAATTGTGTTTTCTGTTTTGTATTTTGTTTCTGAAGTTTCCGGTTGACCTTTTTTTTTAAAGTTTTTTTTTTCTTTTTTACTGCAGATTTTTATTTAGTGTAGAGGTTCATGTTGGATATGTTGCCTTTTTAACCAAAGCTTTTTTATCAGCCTTAATGCCACATGGGTTATATTCATAAGAAAAATAATATTCAAAGTTATTCATAGCTGGTAAGAGTGTGGCGAGTGAAAATGAATCTACATTACTCTCAACAAATTCCTGACAAATGCGTTGACGGATATATCTGTAAACATACAATAACGTACAATGCAACTATTGTGGTCCATGCTGTAGTTATATGTCCCATAACTGAAATATTCTCACTGTTACATGTACATGATGTAGGTCCACTAGAACAAAGCCAACAGGTAATTCAGACAAGTGTGTTTATCCCTCAGTAGGATTGTTTCTCATATTTATTGATCTTGGAAAAGCGTTGCCATCTGTATAATAGTTAATTTACTGCAGTAAACTTTGTGTCAATGCATCTACATTCATGCTGTACATATCAGTTTATATAAGATTACAAAAGTACCTAGATATTGTAAGATTTAGAATGTTGGTTGTAAAGTATTTAAGCAGAAATTTTAATCTACACCAAATGTTGTCCAACAACTAATCTGAAAATAAATCCAAGCAGTAATTGCATGTCCTTGAGTTCTTTTGTGCTCAGTATTTAAGAATGTGCACTAGCGGCAAGACATCTCAGTCGAGAAAAGACAAAATTGCAGATGACGTGGTGCTTTTGGGTGTGCATATGAAAAATAACTGGAATGACGGCTGCACTGTGGCGCCAACAAAGATTTTGATCAGTAATATCTTAAATAAACTTTTCCTTTCCTGTTTTGGGCTAATCAATTTCATCGTACCATTTAAAATGGTACATTAAGTGCTGGTGAAGTCAAAAGTCAATTTGTGGGTTTTTAAATGAACACATTAAAGTAAATAAGTTGGTTCAAAATGTAAGGACCAATATAATACCCACTATATACCAGCGTGGCACTGGGTGTTGTAAGCTCTTCTACTGGGATGTGTGCTTATTTCATTCCAGCTCAGCAAAGTGTCTCTCACCCTATGCATCATACAAGAGCATCAGTAGAGTAGAAGTGATTAGTGAGTTAAAGTGTGCGGGCAACAAACTGCTCCTGATTTCAATAGTATTTCCAACAGGTAAACTCACCATGAACTAAATCCACAATATTAGTACACTTGCCATAGTTCGTAGCAGTAACATGCAGATGCATTGAATTTGACCGTAGCGGAAAAATATTGCATACGGTTAGCTTCTATGATCAAAATAATTCTGCTTGCTAAACCAAATTAATAAATGAACATTTATGTTTGGTAATACATTTATGACTGAAGTGGGAGAATATTTATAGCTGTATGATTTAGTGTGTGGATTATAGCAGCCATTCTCAACCAATGGGCTCGTCAGAGCATAACGTCGTGGGCCGTGGAGATACTGTCAAATGGTTGGAATAAATCCATGGACCACCATGGGACCTTATTTCAGACAAAATGGGAATAAAAAGAGATTTCTTCTCATCCCCTTTACTTTCAAATGTTCTTCTTAGAGTCTTGCATTTGTTAGCATCAAATAAATTCCAGGGAACACAAAGAAATGTCAAAATGCTCTTGCTATCATTAACATTAAGTTACCTTTAATGTAAAATGATGCCATACAAATGGGTTGCCTTAAGTGTAATTACACATGGAAATGCTATACAGAATGAAGGAAGTGGAAAGAAAGAACGTAATAGTAGAGTATCTTGGCAATGCACTAAGGCCAGGACTGTGAGCGCCAAAGTAATCTGCACATATGTGGAGTACTAAATGACAGTGAAACACTTTAATCCATATTTCCTGACCGACAGATTCAACTTTTTAGATATTATGGATGCCCCTCAAAAATAGGGGGAGGGAGTAGTCATCTTAAGCATCTGTGGGTCTAAGAGGACGAGTTGGGAGCTTCAGCAGTTGGATCCACCGTATGGTGAAGCACAAGGTGGTCCCAGCCTACGGTTGTGAGGGTGTTGGAGTCACCATGGAGCCAGCACACACCTTTGACAAAGTCCTGGTGTCGCCGATCTTTGAGTCTACAGAAGAAGAATATATGATTACTATTCATTTTAATGGTAGAGGACTTTAACCTGGTGTTTAGTATTTAAGTGCAAAAACTCACATTTCTCGCAGATCAGAGTTCAAAACAACGAGTGAACAATCATCACTTACGGAGGCGAGCAAGGAAGCACTGGGAGGGGGAAAAAAATAAATGTTAAAATTTTGGAGCGCAATAAAAGAGCTTATGATACGATGCTAGAATTTATGTTTACCTATGTGTAGAAAAGGCGAGCCCATTGACTCTACGGCTGTGGGCGTTCTCTACCCGGGCCGGCTCTGTTCCCAGGAAGTCCTTCACTGTCACTCGGCCCAAGTCATCACCTAAGGCCCAATAAACATAATCAGAAACGAAGGGACTGACAATTTAATGTCTCCATCAATCAATAATCTGCTGCTGGGCCTTACCAAAAGCAATGGTGCTTCTGTGGTGGGGGTGCCAAGCTACAGTGGTAGGGGAGCAGCTGGGGGATTCCACATCTGAGACAAACACAGAGACGACGATGGAATATGCATAATCATAAAAAATAAAAAAAAAGATTGTGTCTTGACAAGATGTACTATTAGATTCCGGGAACAATAGTCGAGGCTTGTTGTATCAGACAGACAAAGAACCACCACTCGCTGATTATACACGCATCTGTCATTAACAACATTAATTCCAGCACTTTCCTGCAGAAATGTCTGGACCTGGTTGTTTAGAATGAGACATGTTGCTCACCTATTCTTGAGGCTGGTTTGTTTGGCTTTCTCCTGTCCCACATCAGCACACGGCCATCCTGTTAGATAGAGGACAACAGGTTGAGTTTGATGAAGACAAGTATAGTTTTACAGTTCTTTGTCTGCTCTTTATGACTTATGGATAGCATTTATTGTAGCTTTCTTGTGTTGCATGAAAAGAGGTTCATCCTTATTAATATGCACATTTATGCTGCAAGTTGCTCCGAAATGTAGTTCAGGCAGTTACCGAGTTGTTAAATGTTGTGTTTTTAAACTATGCATAACAACTGTTATTCTGTGCCTTACTTGACCACAGGAGATGAAGAGAGACTCATCTGTAGGACTGCAAGCAACACAGCTGACTGGCTGCGTGTGCGCTGGAGGAAGAAACAAAGTTAAGAGACATATTGTCAGTTATGTTTTTTACCATCTTTACCAAGATTTAGACTCTGTGACAAATGAAGTGAAACCTTTAAACTGAATATAATTTGATTGAAGAACAACACTTTCTCTTACTACCATCTAGATATTCTGAGAGCAGTTGTGAGATGTTCCCTCACCATTGTAGGTAGTGACAGCAGTCTCCTGACTGAGATCCCAGACTTTAATTCTGTTGTGAAGAAAGTGCATTTTGATGAGAAAAGGTGTGAAAAAAAGTGACAACCAAAATCACAACGCCTAAGTTTAACACATAATCGATCAACATGCTTCTGTTCTGCAACCGCGCATGTATATGTGAAGAACGGTGTCTCACCGACAGTCCATGCTGCCAGTGACGGCACTGTTTGCTCCAGCAACTGGGCTCACTGTGGTGACAATGTGGTCGTGCTCATGTTTAGTGAAACGATTCACCAGTAGACGTTCATCCTCTGCCAGATCCCAGAGCTCCAAGGCACCTGCACAGAAACCAGTCAAACAAAAATGACATTTAACATGCAGGTCTCAAGACCAGTGGTTTGATTCATAATGAATCTGCTTCTTACCCGAGTCTGACGCAACAAGAATACCCTTTTCTGATACCCATTTGGCATCTGTGACTCCGGACTCAGTCTGCACACCAGCTTTGCAGAGTTCCTCATCGGGGGCCTGCTTAGAGTCACTGTAGATCCAAAGTGATCCCTGCCAGCTCCTGCCAGTGAGGCTGGAGGCACCGAGCAGCAGAGTACCATCTGTGAACAAGACAATAAACCAACGTTTAAAACAGCTATATTTAAAAAAAGAAATGCAATTTCTTTGTTCAACAACTAGCCACCTGCAACACACTAGAGAAACCCACTAAGCTGGGCTGCTATGCTCGTGCACAACATTTATAAATATAGATCTTTTTTTTATTTAACATATTGACGGATTGTATATACGCCAAATGACCAGAGGACCCTTGCACATCAGTGAATAGACTCAGACGTATACTAACTAACTAGCGGTACCACGTGTCTACCTGTGTAACCTCCAGCTAGCTTGCTTTGTGTGACCTACCTGCTCTGTATTGCGCCGCGCTGAGATGCTTCTCCATGCATGCGGGAGCATTAGGGGGTACGTTCCACCGGTTCTCCTTGATCATGCTAGTATCCACCGCACTTTTCATTTAGACTTAACGTACGTGATCAATGGCTACAGATGAACTTTTCCAAACAACTTTAGCGTGATTCTTACGTTAGCTAGCTAGCTGTTACTGGCCGCCTGCAGAGACACCGCAGCATTCGTCTTTGGTTTATTTGGGAAAGAAAGCTAACACGTTAGCTAAAGTTGTCTTTTCAAGAATGAATGAACGAGTGAACAGCATCACATGGGGCATGGAGGGGGCCGATGTGAACAGACACTTCCTGCTCCGGGTCTCTTGTTCTTCTTCGTCTGCTGCTACGTCTCCTTCTTCTTCGTTTTTTAGGCGGATTGCAAAACCAGCTTTTAGGTGCATACCGCCAACAACCACAGCGGAGTGTGTAGAACATGATCAGTTTACATTAAACTGTAAAATATACATCGATTATTCTATTAAACAATCCTGTGTCCTAGATGGCGCATTGCTTAACACTTCTGGAGTTAACGAGGCTATTTAATTGATGTGATTTATTGAATTTGATTATATCATAAACAACATACACATGATACTCTTGTGCAGCTGTTTGCAAAAAAAGGAAATAAAAAACACAGATTAATAGAAAATATCTAAACATCACATAAAATTAAGTAAATATAAATAAATATTACTTCTACTGGATAATCTTTGACATAGTTTACGTGGGCCTGGCCGAGATTAAATCTCTTCCAAACCTACCAAGAAAAAATAAGACTCTGTCCTGTCTATTTAGAAATATGCTCTGTAGGTCAGTAAATTGTGGTCTCGTTATTCGTTTTTTATTTGAACATCTATATACTTAATGTTTATTGCAGTGCCGCTCACCGGTCTTCACCATTGACTTTATATTATATATAGACTTCATAATTGGTCTTCACCAAGAAACAAGACACGTCTTCAAAAACAGAGTTGTATCTTGAGGCCTGCTGAGGCTAAATGTCTTTGGCCAATTCCAGTGGCTTGTTCTCCTCAGCCTGCTTTACATGAATGCATCAAAGGCACGTTTATTATGATAGGAACATCAGACAGCATCAACCTTGTTTCAAACACCTCTGTAAATATAATTTCCAATTAACCATATGAATGTCACCCAATAACTCATCAACTCGTCCTCTCAACATAGTAAGTTATATGTCTTGTTATACAAATTGAATGACACTGAGATTGAGGATGTTAGATGGCACTACAGTTAATTATTATGTTGCCTGTTTATTGTGATGTTCTGACAGGCTATTATTTCGTCCTCTGATAAAATTGGTCATCTCTCAAAAATGTGGTCTGATCACATTGTAGGAGTGGCAATTGTCAATCCTTTTCAAGGGTTTGCATGAAAGAGTTAAAAGATAATTCCTCTCATTGTTTGTGAACCCACAAGCAGGACATCTACAAAACATACCACAGTACCACATTTTGAAAAGAGATCTGTAAATGTAGCAAGTATCTTAGTAATACAATAAAGTTACCAATAGGCTACTTGAATTAAAAATCTGACATTCAGAATATCAGGAGTTCACGAGATTTGTTTTAAAACTTTAAGGAGTGAAAAGGTCTTGTTCAAATCATACATGGAAACAACTGAAAGCGGCTACAATGAGCCAGTGGGGATTATAACATGATTCATGTCAGTGACATTTAAGTATTGCACTTAAATGTAGGCTAGAACTAGAAGGCTGAAGCGGTTTGTTCAGTCGCAGAGGTTTAATGGCGAGTTGTAAAGTTGAACTCAATTAACTGTGAACAGGAAGTCTGATGCGCTCATTGCGCAATAAGCAACGTCGTAACTCACACGTTTAGTTTTTTTTAAATTGTGCCCCACGGTTTCTAAATTCTCAAGCGGTCACTGTTATGCGACCTGCATATCAACCTATACCAACATTAAACAGAGAAAAGGGGAAATAATCATCACCATCTTGTAAAACCATAATATAACACACTAATACGAGTCCGTACACGCTTTTATTCTGAAGGTGAACAAACGGAAGTGGCAGTTAATTTGCTGCTACCTTCACACTTCTGTTTCTCGGTCTAAAATCGATAAGTGATTGGCTTTTCTTGATTATTAAAGATTTTTGGAAGTCTACTAACGGGCTCCCAGAAGGTAAGTTCACAACTATTTTCCAGGGGTTGAACTAAAAATATGTTCCATCATGTGTCGTAGCCTCACTTAACGTTAGCTTTGTAACGTTAGACGTTGGTACAGTGGTGCCTTTGTCTCGTCTCTAACTAGCGTTAGATGATGTTGAAGGCTAACCGTGAAGTGTAGCTAACTGTTAGCTCATCTGTGGTCAGTACCTGTCCGCACTTGATTGACAGGTAGGTGGACAGCTGCCGGTTTGTGTGCTAGCTTACTGCTGACGTGTGCACACTGGACGGCAGTCTGTACGCAGCTGGAGGACATTAGGCAGAGCGGTTAACGTTGAAACCCTCAGACAGACAGCATTATAGGTGTCCGTTGATAAATGTCATTCTAGGTGATAATAATGAGCTGGAGTGGTTGTCACCTTTTTACAATCGGACTATAAAGCGCATTAAACCTTGAAGGAGATCGGAGGGCCTGTTGACAAAACACCTTTGAAATGCTTATTTTTGATTTGAGAATTTATCCAAATTTAAAACTCAGGAGCAGTTGTCTCAAGTACAAGATTTAATTAGGGGTCAAGGTTAATTTGGGGTGCCATGAAATTACTCATCACGGATGACATGTGGCCGTGCTTCCAACACACAGAATGTAAGCATTTATAAGGTATATTCTGTGACTTCAACAAAATAATAATAATAATAATAAACTGTAACCCAAATATTCTTACATTTTCATTTAATTAATACCATCTTGACAATTTGCTTCATGTTTCGTCAGAGGCACCCCTCCATCTCCCCCCTTTTTTAAAGAACAAAATGTAAAAGTGAAGCTGTAGAACATAAACGAGTCAATGAAAGCAAAATGAAAATTTTAACCAAAGTGCAAATCATGAAATAGATGACGACTGAGTCCTATTTAGGGGATTCAGTTTCAGGGTCCTGGTATGTGCATGCTGGTTTACGCTCACACAGCTCTGTTGTAGTGCTACACGTGAATAGAACGGTTGTGTCACCAGTAAGGCTTTTCCTGCCACAACAGATCAAAATGTGTCGAGTTAAACATCTGCTCAGTCCTTCAGTATTGGTAATCATAGCTTCTCATTCACAGCAGCAGTGCGTTGCATTTGATAGGAGAGGGGTGTGTCATGAAGGGGAAGGGGCCATTGTAAATTTGATGTTTAGTCTGTTTTATAATGTAGAAAATAGCAAACAATATCAGGATGACCACACCATATTACAGTATATCCAGTGTCCCTCATCATTGAGATTATTCATTCAGTCTGCATAGTGTACACATTGTTTAGATACTGTAATGTTTATAGCTCTTGTCTGCATGCAGTGACACTTGTTACTTTAATGGTTCTTTACCACAGGGGTCGTCATGGCCTTGAAAAGGAGAAGGGCGACGTCCCCCTCTAGCAGTGTGAGTGGAGGAGATTTTGACGATAGCCAGACTTCATCGTTAGTGTCTTCAATTGGGAGAAAGAGGAGAAGGACCTCAAACATTCCAACTGTGGATCCTGTAATTTTTTACAAATTTCAGTTTCAGTCTTTCTTTGAACACACTTGTCAGAATTTATGCTGATTAACTGGTTGGCATGGGAAAGGAGACAGATATGTTTCAATGTTTCATCCTTTGACTTGCAGATCGCTGTGTGTCATGAATTGTATAATACAATCAGAGATTACAAGGATGATCAGGGCAGGATGTTGTGTGAGCTGTTCATCAGAGCCCCCAAACGAAGGTAAGGAAAGGGATGAGAGGTCATTGGATATGTGCACATGATTACACCCTGGAATTCCTTAAATATCAATTGAGGTATTTAACACAAACATTAGATGCAGAACAATTACAAGACCCCTTTTCTTACAGGAATCAACCGGATTATTATCATGTGGTGTCTCAGCCTATTGACATGATGAAGATCCAGCAGAAATTAAAGATGGAGGAGTATGATGATGTTGAACAACTCACTAGTGACTTTCAACTGTTATTCAACAATGCAAAAACATATTACAAGGTTAAAAAAAACAAAAAACTAATTTATTATAAGATACAAATTATTTACAACTGTGTCCGCAGTAAATGACATTCTGATATTTACCAACATGAATATGAATTGCTTGTATCTGTCTAGTCTGACAGTCCTGAGTACAGAGCAGCCTGTAAACTTTGGGATCTTTACCTGCGAACCAAAAATGAATTTGTTCAGCGAGGCGATTATGACGACGATGACGAAGAAGGGTACGATGCACACGACAACCCCGGAGGGTCGACTGAGGATGAGGTGACACTCACTCACATTACTGATAACACAGATTTATTATGACTCTTCATTCAATACACACCGCTAACATAAATTCATCTGTAGGTTAGAATCAAAGGGCCTCGTGCAAGAACCACTTGTACAAACAGATTTGTTCTTAAATGGCTAGAACTTGCCGTATTTACCAATTTTCTCGTATCGAGTTTTTCACTAATGGATTGTACATTTCATTACTTTGAAGCAATTCTGCGTTAGAAAATCATATATAAATTGCACTTCATAATTATGATGACATTATCCCGTTTGACTCTGCAAATCAAATTATAATATAATTCAAAATTGGCTATTGGTGCCATTATAAAACACTACAATATGACTATGAACACCTAAAGCTGCAAAACAATTCAATGATGCACTAAGTGATGGTTCATTTGTCTCTAAGGGTGATGTAGAACTTCCTTACCTAAACCGTGTGCTCCCTTGTGTATGACAGAGTGCACCTACCTGCTTGAAAGAAGTCCTCGAGCAGCTCCTTGATGCCGTGGTCTCTTACACTGAGCCCACTGGCCGTCTGGTCAGCGAGCTGTTTCAGAAGCTTCCATCCAAAATGGTACAAGCACCTTTCAGTAGGACTTTAGTTATTATCAGTAAAATTAGGGATTTGGCTTTGATGTGTAGTTTGCCTTTTTCTTTTAGCAATACCCGGATTATTACGCCATCATCAAGGAACCAATAGATCTGAAAATCGTTGCTCAAAAGATTCAGGTATGCTATTACACCTCCTGCATTAAATATGCACTATAATATTAAAAAATATATATTTATGTCCAATAAATGTGTTTGCCTTCTAGTTGAGCCACTACAGGAGTGTTAGTGCCATGGCTAAAGATGTAGATTTGCTGGTCAAGAATGCCAAAACTTACAATGAGCCTGGATCGCAAGTGTTTAAGGTGAGCGTGTCAATGAGAATATGACGCATATTAAAATACCGTTAGCAGTGTTGTGACATGCAGACCAAATGACCTGCTCGTGTGTTACAGGATGCAAACACCATCAAAAAGATTTTTGCACAAAAGAAGTCTGAGATGGAACACGGAGAACCAATCAAGTCCAGCATTCGTATTAGGTAAATAGGAGACAACACTGGAATCAAATCGTGTTAGCTTTTGCTTTTAACTCTGTCGCCCTTGCTCTGTCTTTCTCTGTCAGGAATAGAAGGTCTGCCCAGGGAGACCGCCTCTCAGCTATCACCATGGCTCTTCAGTACGAAAGTGACGAGGAAGGCATTCTCTCGGGTACATCTTTACGTCATTGGCTTTGGTGCCTTGTACAATATATTGTTGTAATTGATGGGTGTGTCATTATTTAGTATCTTCTCCTGTGTTTGTCAGGTTCTGTCCACTATGATGAGGGTGAGTCTGAAGCAGAGAGTATGACCTCTAACATGGACATGAGTAATCCCATCTTTCAGCTGTTTGAGGCTGTGCGAGGTGCCAGGAACAGCCAGGGCCAGTTGATCTCTGAGCCTTTCCTGCAGCTGCCCTCCAGGAAGGACTACCCCGACTACTACCACCAGATCAGTCAACCCCTCTGCCTCCTTCAGATCAAGTATGTCAGAGCTAGTACTGATCTGATGTCTTTGCAACAACATTAAAATATAGCTTCATTTTTTTTTCCCACCCTGAGTGATGTCACCACCTGAATTCAACACAGATTTGAAATGTTGTGACAATTTATTGTACGTTAAAGTGGATTGTTTTTAGATCCCTTTTGAAAGTTAATTAAAAGTGCTCGTTGGTGAAAAATAGCTTCTTAGAAAGTAAAGCATTCAGTATTGATTTGAGGGATTTATACCAATTTAAGGTTAATATTTTCAAGTAGTTTTAAATTAATTAGCATAAAAAGCATGTTTTACTGTCACGTGTAATATGTTGGCATAGTTTGCATGTTATACAGATCTACTGTATATACATACAGTAGATCTGTTTATCTATCAAGTGAATTTTAGGTTACCGTAAAAAGTTTTAGAAATGTTAATTAGGTATTTTTGATCAGTGTTTTAATAGATGCTGTGAATTCAGTGTCGGATAACAAATCTACCAGAAAAATGTAATATGTCCTACAACAAGTGATTTCCATTTATTGTAATGGAAAAGTTTAATGGCAATAATACAGACATTTGTCTTTTTATACAACCTTTCCAAGCAGAAATCCCTCTGAATCAACAAACACTACTTGGGTTTACACCCACACAGTTGCTAATCCATGTTTCATCATCAATTTGTTTTTATTTTGTTTCACCAACATTCTCTCTTTTTATTTTCTACCCCTACGGCATCACACACTCACTATACAGAACAGTATTTTCTGTGCCCTCCTTTCCAAATGTGAGAGCCCGTAATTCCCCACAGGAACAAGATGAAGAACAACGAATATGAGAGTGTTGAGCACATTGACTCTGATCTGATGCGGATGTTTGAGAATGCCAAACGCTACAATGTTCCTCACTCGTCCATCTACAAACGTGCACTCAAACTCCAACACATTCAGCAGGTCAGTCCCAACTTACACTTTTTGCCAGCTTTGGGGTATTTTAAGAGGCATTGTAGCGATGAGATGTATGTTACCTGTTCTCTCTGTAGATGAAGAGAAAGGAGCTGTTACAGAGAGATGATGACGATGGAGACAGCATGCTCTCCTCTGCCACGTCTGACACCAGCAGCACAAAAAGAAAAAGGTTTGCACTTTTACTTACTCCATTCTCTGAAGCTTCTTGTTTAATTGTGCGTGAAAGTAGAGCGACAGTTGATCTGCATTTGGTTTCCAGTCACAAGAAGAATACAAAGAAAAACCGAATGAAAGCTCTCTTCGCTGCTGTGGCTGAGGCGCGAGAAGCTGGTACTGGTCGGAGGCTGTGTGACCTCTTTATGGTCAAGCCCTCGAAGAAGGACTATCCAGACTACTACAAGGTCATCCTGGAACCAATGGACCTCAGGACCGTTGAGCAAAACATCCGCTCAGACAAGTACATGACCGAAGATGCAATGGTGGAGGAAATGAAGCTGATGTTCCGCAATGCTCGACACTACAATGAAGAAGGCTCCCAGGTAAGATCTGTTTGGTATTTCTAATTAACTGTGAGTCTAATTTAGCCTGAGGAAAATGTTTTTTTCTGGTAACCAGGAGCTTTTCCATGACAAACTTCTTTGTGTTCAAGGTGTACAACGATGCTGACATTCTAGAGAAGATCATGAAAGACAGACGCAAGGATCTTGGGCCAGCGATGGATGATGATGACACATTGTCCCCAAAGTTGAAAATAAGTACTTAACTTTAACAGTACCTTGTCAGTACAATGAATTAAAGCTAAATGTGTGTGAGTTGGTTATCGTTAACACACACATACACTTTATTTGATTGCAGGAAAGAACAGCATTACGCTGAAGAAGTCAAAGTACTTAACACCCTTACAGCAGAAGCTGAATGAGCTTTATGAGGCCGTCAAGAACTTCACAGATAAACGGGGTCGTCGCCTCAGCACTATCTTCCTGCGGCTGCCTTCTCGTGCCGAGCTTCCTGACTACTACATTGCCATCAAGAAACCTGTGGACATGGAGAAGATCAAGAGCCACATGTTGTCTAACAAGTACCAGGATGTTGACGCGCTGGTGGAGGACTTGGTGCTCATGTTCAACAATGCCTGTACTTACAACGAGCCCGAGTCTCTGATATACCGCGACGCCCTCATGCTGCACAGGGTGCTGTTAGAGACGAGGCGTGACCTGGAGGGAGGAGATGATGCCCACGTACCTGATGTGCCCCGCCTCATCCAGGAACTAATCCGCAGCCTCTTTGTCTCCGTGCTCGGCCACCAAGACGACGAGGGCCGCTGCTACAGTGATTCACTCGCTGAGATTCCCGCGCTAGATCCCTCAAATCCTGAGAAGCCACCACTCAACTTTGAGATTATTAGGACTAATGTAGATCGAGGGTGTTATAAGAGGCTGGATGTGTTTCAGGACCACATGTTTGAAGTGCTGGAAAAGGCTAGACGGCTGAATAGGTGAGGTGCTGTTGAACATCCTGTACAAAATCAGTCGTCTAATCACCGTTTTTTCGTTGATGTTGAAGGATTATTGTATTAAAGAAAGCTAAAGTTGTGTCGCACAATATGTCTATTACAGGAGTGATTCTGAGATCTTTGAAGATGCTGTGGAACTGCAGCAGTTCTTCATCCGAATCAGAGACGAGCTGTGTAAGAACGGAGAGATCTTGATGTCTCCTGCTCTCAGCTACACCTCCAAACATCTGCATAGTGATGTGGAAAAGGAGAAGAAAGGGAAGCTCCCCAATGAGTTTGAGGAGGACAAAATCAAAAGGGAGGAGGAAAAAAGGGGTATTTTGATTAATATATAATAACGGTCACAGTACATAGAAGTTCTGTCATTCGTTGTCTCAGCACATACTGTGGCAATGATTCACCGAGTCACTTGTGAATTCCCAGAAGCTGAGAAGAGAGAGGACTCTGTTGGAGGATCATGGCAGTCTAACCTCCAGCGCACATACAGTCAGGACTGCAGCTTCAAAGACAGCATGTACCATGTGGGAGACTACGTATATGTGGAGCCTGCAGAGCCAAATCTCCAGCCTCATATCATCTACATCGAACGCCTTTGGCAGGACGATACTGGTCAGTCTCATTATTGCAATAATCAGACAATAATTAGTATTTTTTGTAAGAAAAGCATAATGATATTTTCTTCTGATTTGTATTAGGTACAGTTTCTTCAGTTAGCGTTCCAGTTCAGTAGAACATGCCATTTTTATTGAGAGCAGTTCTAATTCATTCAGTTTTTTTCAATAAATGCAGGTGAGAAGTGGCTGTATGGCTCCTGGTTCTACAGGCCAAATGAAACATTTCATCTCGCCACAAGGAAGTTCTTGGAGAAAGAAGTTTTTAAAAGCGACTATTACAACAAAGCTCCTGTCAGCAAGATTCTGGGCAAATGTGTGGTCATGTTTGTAAAGGTAAAGGCTGTGTTTCTCCTGTATGTTTGTTAGGTGTAGGTTCTGTTTTGAAGCATTGGCCGTTTGAATGTGTATTGAGTGTTGACCCGAACATTTATGGTGTGTGTATTTCAAGGAGTACTTCAAACTTCATCCGGAAGGCTTCAGAGCTGAGGATGTCTACGTCTGTGAATCGCGCTACTCTGCCAAGTCCAAGTCTTTCAAGAAGATCAAGTTATGGGCCATGCCCTTGAGCTCGGTTCGGTTTCTTCCCAGAGAGGTCCCCCTACCCGTCGTCCGTGTAGCATCAATGTTTGCCCCCAAACGAGAGGAGAAACCGCCAGAGATGGTGGATGAAATCAAAATGATAGATGGTAATGTAGACAAGGTAAATGCCAGTTGCTTTTTTTCCATGAGAAATTACAGAATACACATAAAATAACGCAGACTACTGTTAAGAAAACTGTTTGTGTCTCCAGGAGAGGGAGGATGTTCCAATGGAAATGACCAATGGGGAGCCAGCGTGTCAGTACTATGAGCAGCTCTGCTACAACAACCTGTGTCTGAAAGTGGGAGACTGTGTTTACATAGGCTCACATGGACTTGTGCGCCACCGAGTGGGCAGGTAGAGAACATACATTTCTTTTCAACTGACCATGGGTCACCTCCTTCCCTTCAATCGCTAACACAGGAACTCTATATTGTGTTATGGTTGGAAAATATGGAACACGGCGAGCTTGGCGTAATGGCAAAGTAATGTGGTGGTAATGTGTGTGTTTGTAAATACAAATGTCTGATTTCCAATGTACCTAATGCAGCTCTTTTATCAAAAACAGAATTGAGAAAATGTGGATGAGAGATGGAGCAGGCTACTTCTTTGGTCCAATCTTCATCCATCCGGAGGAAACCGAGCATGAGCCCACTAAGATGTTCTACAAGAAGGAAGTGTTCCTGAGCAACCTTGAGGAGACTTGTCCTATGACCTGCATCATAGGTATCCTCCTTACTGTACACGTTGAACAAATGTATAAAGTTTCATGTGTGTAGTTAATAGAAATCATTACACATTCACTGAGTCGGTCTTCTTGTTTCACAGGGAAGTGTGTGGTGTCGTCCTTCAAAGACTACCTGTCATGTCGGCCAACTGAAGTGCCTGAAGAGAACGTTCTACTCTGCGAGAGCCGCTATATCGAGAGTGAGAAGCAGATGAAGAAGTTTAAGGGTCTGAAGCGCTTTTCACTCTCTGGGAAAGTGGTGGAGGATGAAACTTACTATTTTAGGTAAAAAAAACTTTAACATACTGAATTATCTGTTAATGTTACTGTGTGGCAGCAGGAAAGGAAAGACAACAATCTTTGTTAAAGATCTACAAAAATAACTACGCACACTAATCAGAACAAGCCTTTTATCGTCCTGTGTAGGCTGCGTTACGTCCCTGGTTGTGTTTCTTCATGATTTTCTATGGGTGTTTTCCAGTTTATTGAAAGATTAGGGCCAATTTGAAAGGTGGATATATTGCACAGTTTGTTTTTCTTATTGTCTTATCCAGGAAGCTCATAGTACCCCAGAAGGAGCCATCCCCTCTGCTGGACAAGAAAATTGAGGTACTGGAGGCCAAGTTTGCTGATATGACAGATGAGGAGCTAGAGGATCTTGGGGATGATGACGGCGAGCTAGGGGACCGGTCTCGCCCTCGGATGCAATCTTCCATGTCTAGTGAAATGGATGTCATGCCTTACACTCCCCCGCAGGTCAGGGTGGAAAAGTATTCACTCACAAATGTAAATTTCCTCTGCAAAGTAACAAGCATTTATGTGACTTTGAGCATTCTCGTGAACGCTCTCCTGTGTTTTGGTTGCAGTCCACACAAAAATCCATTAAGGGCCTTTCAAAGAAGGAGGGCTCAAAGCGAAAGATCAACATGAGTGGCTACATCCTGTTCAGCAGTGAGATGCGAGCGGTCATCAAAGCCCAGCACCCGGACTTCTCCTTTGGGGAGCTGAGTCGCCTCGTTGGCACTGAGTGGAGAAACCTGGAGGGTTCCAAGAAAGCAGAATATGAAGGTGAGCAGAACTTTTTTGGATTCTAGTCTTCACCCAGTTGTGAACCACATGAAATTAAGACCTTGCGCTCGTCTTTATTGTTTTGCAGAGCGAGCAGCTAAAGTGGCAGAGCAGCAGGAGCGCGACAGGGCCCAGCATCAGACGTCCCCTAGAGCAGGTACCCCAGTAGGGGCACTGATGGGGGTGGTGCCTCCCCCAATCCCCATGGGGATGCTAAATTCCAGCATGACGCCTGCGTCAGGTAACCCCTCATAGATGCAGATGGATCCCCAGTGTACATTAGAAGGCCTACTGGAAGAAGAAGCTGAACTGCTCGATGCATTCACATTTTAAGTTTCCTAATCTCACCCATGTCCGCATGTTTGTGATGCTGCAGTGTTGTGATTTAATTGTATGTTGCATCTAACATTATTTCACTTTACTGACCTTGCTTGTTGTAGAGAATCCTTTATTCTTTACATCATGGGTGACTCCACATATTTGAATGCAGAGCTTGAAGTGTAAAAGTTGAGGATTGGGACTGAAAAGTTAATTAGCACTTAGCAGTAGTGCATGTGCACTAAATAGTTTTCATTGTGTGTTTTTCATCCATTCATATCCATCATAATGATCTGATGATTAAATAAAAACACACATATTAACTAGTGCTGGGCAAGTTGACACGTTAATTTCGCGTTAACACATTCATTAATTAACGCGACAATTACTTTATCGCGCGTTAGCGCATTTTTTTTATTTATTATAATTCTTTTTTTCTTTTTTCTTTTTTTAATTGAAAGACAAGAGACAATACATATACATAACAACAAGAGGATGACAAGAACAGTGGGATAAAAGCCAGCAAACATCCTATAGTCAGTAATTTTAGTGCACCTATATGCTGAAATTCAAGGTAAACGCATTTCAACGGCACAGATCGGGAGCGAGCAAAGGACTTTGAAAGTTAGCGGAAAGATTAACGTGAGACAACATCCGGTTTCTTCAGACGAACATCCGGTTTTCAGAATAAGATGCCAACAAAGTATGAATTATATTCACATTAAGTATAAAACATGCTACCTGCATCTCGTGAACCAAATGTTATTGCCCTTTTGTTCATATAGCAGTACTTTTAAAATAAAAGTGCGCAATACACTACTTTTGAATTCATTATTGAACTTTGCCATAACAATGCGATCGCATGGATTTTTTGCGATTAAATATTTGAATCGTTGCCCAGCACTAATAACATGTTTCTGCATGCCAAGTAGAGCAAGTAGTTGATGCATGTTTGACTGACGCATGTCGCTGTCTTGTGTTGCTGCTGTCCCTTCCTAAGAAGGTATGGTGGGTGCATATAGGTCAGCTATGATGCCCCCGTGGGGCTACGGTGAAGGCATGGTTAGTATGACTGGCATGCCACCACATCTCATGGGGGTGCCTGTCTTTCCTCAACATCTCCTGCCTGTTATGCCTGGGTTCCCTGGAATGCCGTACTTTGGTAAGAGTGCTGTCATAACCACCCCACTTGCCACGCAGTTGCTTCCTGTCTGCCAGTCTGACTTGCTGGAGGGGCTACCTGTACCAATAGGCTGAGGTCCTTAAGTTGAGGACTGGTCAGTTGAGAGCACAGAGCCTTAACTGGGGCTCGGTTATTCATCCTCCTCATTACCACTAGACTTGTAGGTAATTATGTCATGGAGAGAAAGTTGGTATCTCCAAAAAATATACCTGATGTTTTATTTTAAAAGTTCATAATTGGCCTTCCTAAGTGTTCTAATATCAATTAATATTACACGGGTTGATTTCAGTAACGGACTTTGAATTTATTTTTTGTAATATAAACCAATATTGAGTGGCGTGCTGCACTTTTTGACTGTGTCTTGATGTCCACAGGTGTTAATGGCATGGGAGGTGGAGCAGGAAGCATTCATGGATCCCAGGTAATCTATACGGCTCTGTAATCATCTGTAATCTATGTGTTCAGAGAAGGATATGAGACTCTTGGAAAACATTAAGAAATTCTTTAGGCTGTGTTCTCCATGAAGCTATTCTAATACATTTTCAGAAATGAGAGTGAAATCTAGTGTCAGTGTTTTTTGTTTTTTTTTAGCCTTTTAGCCTTGAACAGCAGGCAGAATATTTATAAAACATCCAGTCCATCATATGTGACAGTCATATGATGGACTGCAGGTGTAGCGAGTAAAAAGATATATGCCGCAGTACATCTGCTCTGCGAACCATCCGCATCCGTTACGTCTTTAATGTAGCCTAGCTGTAGGATTAGTTTGTAGCTTCAAATCCACCACACTAAACTAGTTTCTCGGTTACAGTCACACTTGCAAACAGACAAATGCACACACATGATTCCTTTAACTCTGTGTATCTCAATGACGCCTGTGTAATTAATTATTCAGTAAACAACAAACTAAATACAAGTTAATGTCCAGTTGTAAATGTCACCTTTGTTTTATAATGGCAGAGCTTCCAATGAGTCTGAAAACAAAAAAAGCTCAACAAAACAGCTTCTCTGCATTAACACGTCTGTGCACCCAGATTGTGTTACTTTTTCCACTTTGCAGTTGTTTAGCTCTTGTAGACTGTAGCACAGTGTCCCTAAAAGATGCCTGAAAGAAAACGTGACGCAGATTATTTATTTTGCTAATTAAATACCTAACTAATATGTGTCAAACTGAACAGATTAAAAAAATAAGCATTTTTAAAAATTCGTTTCACTTAGTGTTTTGAAAATCAATTGAAAAGACTAAATTACAAACTTCCCTAAAATCGTAAAGCAAAATGAAGGTCAAGGGGCCCCTTGAAGGGGTTCCAGACAGACAACATTGTAGGGCCAGCACAATGCCACCAGAATACAGACAGATTTGCTGCTAGATAGGTTGATGCGTGATCTTATGGTCTCCTTAATGGGGCACTTTACTTGTGTTGGCTGCCCCATTCCTTAAATGGTAAACCATGTACTTGAAGCCAACATGTGCAACAACTATGTGACACCTGTGAAGTTTGTCACACACACCAGTTTCAGATTGGGGCTTCATGTATCTTAAGATGTTGTTGATGAAATGCTGTATAAATTTCAATCTAAATCAGAGAAATAACAGATTTCTTATAATATTTTCATTCGATGGGACAGCAGGCTCCACCGCCGTACCCGGGCCAGATGGGACAACCTGCACACCAGCAGCCCTCCACCCCGATGTTTGTGTCCCCACCAGCCAAGTCTCAAAGGCTGCTCCACTCTGAGGCATACCTCAGATACATCGAGGGCTTAACTGCAGAGTCCTCTACCATTAGCAAGTGGGATCAAGCTCTCTCAGGTGTTTGTTTTTTATTTTTTTGAGTGATTAAGTTTACATAAAATGACAATTACACTGGCAAACATGGCTTGGGAGAGCAACAAAAAACAAAAATTGCTCTTAGGATGCAACACGCATGCATTAAAATATATTTTTTACAAACTTATAAAAGAATATCACATATTAACACAACATTCACTTATCCTAAAAGATTCTTAACAAATTAATGTAGACTGGTGAATATCCTCAGATTCAGAATTTTAATGTTTTATTTCTGCACTTTCAGTTCAAAAACAAGATGTGCGCCTCACCAAAGAGCAAGAGAGCAGACTACCATCGCACTGGCTGAAGAGTAAGGGCGCCCACAAGACGATGGCAGATGCACTTTGGCGCCTCCGTGACCTGATGCTGCGAGACACACTTAACATACGTCAGACGCACAACCTGTAACTGCTTGTATTCTGAGCCTCTGCTCCCACCGTTCCTGTGAGACAGGAAGAGGGACAAGCTCGCTAATGGTGTTCAATTTGTGTTGTCGTTTAAAAATGTGTTTGTCGTTATAAAAGCTGCTTTCTGTGTTGAAGCTGGTTTTTGTTTTACATTTCAGATATATTGTTCTAAGTGCATTATTGTCAATGGCTGTCGTTTCGTGATGAATGCCTTCATGCTTTCACAATTAAAATGTGACGAGCTCAGTTTGGCTGTCTTCATTTACCTAGTAGGACCTACTGTATATTATACATTGAATACAATACAATTACCGTTAGAGATGCATCACTTGAAGTATAGTACAATACCTGCCACTTGTAAAGAATGTTCAAATGTCTCCGATTTAATTTAAGCATCTGCTAAAAGTGAAAGTAGAAAAGACATTTCAAGTTAACTATATAGCTGCAAGACCTTTCAATATTGAATGATAATTTAAGGTAAAGTTGCTGCACTTGGTAGAGACCAAGCAAGGGGCGTGTCTTACCGCTTTCGCCTGTCATATGCGCATGCGCAGTACACCGACCGCGCAGTTCCTTTTCCTCCGTACGTTTGAAAGCTGGCACGGCGAGCACGTCTGTGTTTGTAGTGGCTCCCCATCCCGGCTGAACTATACAGTAACGGTAAGCCACCCCAATGCTTTAACAGCTAATATATCCAGTAATACGGGATTCAAACTTGACAATTGGGTCATAGTCTCAACATCTTGCGATTAGGTACATAATTTTTGAAAATTAGCTAACTTTATGGTTAGCACATAACACATTAGCTAGCGCTAGCATTAGCTTGGCGTAGACCAGCTTCTGGATCAGTCTATTTACTGGAAAGTGGATATAGCTGTCCATGCTGCTTTAGATAATATTAAACGTAATGTTTTGATGTAAGACAGTGTATTAATATATTGCTTATGTTAAATATAACTATATAAGATCAGGTTCTTGCGATATAACGACCGCCATGTGCTTATATTTCAACTTTGAGAAGACGAGAAAACCTGTAAACTGCTAGCTTGGACGTTAGACTGCTGAAACCGATCTGGAGTCAGCGGGGCCAACTGACCTAATGCCAGATTGAGGCTAAGTAGCCTAGCTATGTTAGCTGCTAGCAAGCTAACGTCAACCGCAGACTAGAACTATGACTGGAACTAGCTGACAGTCGGTAAACTTAGGTAACGTTAGCAATAATTGCATTGACTTGTTAAATCAGTGCATTTCAACAGTTACATTTGGCACACATTTCTTAACTTTTAATCACGTTAACACGATTTTATAGGAACAAATACACACGTTTTTAGTAACCTTCCGTTAAGTTTGTGTACAGGATTACTCAGCATGAAGTAATCCATGTGTAGTAAGGTAATTAGCCTCTTAACCAAATTGCTGCCTGACATTGGTTTATGTCTTTCACTCATCCACTCGTTGGTTTTATCGCCTTTAGTCACGAGCATGGAACTGAATGATGCTAACCTACAAAGCCTCACCGAGTTCCTCAGGAAAACACTGGACCCAGACCCTACAGTCAGACGTCCAGGTAATTGCATAGCATGAGCGTGCATGTCTTCATTGTGAAATCTCTGCTTTGCAACACCTGATTTCTATTTATTGTTTTTCTTTCTTAGCTGAAAAGTTCCTTGAATCTGTGGAGGGAAACCTGAACTACCCCTTATTACTACTCACTTTGCTGGAGAAGTCCCAAGACACAGTGATTCGCGTCTGTGCTGCTGTTACCTTCAAGAACTACATCAAAAGAAACTGGCGCATTGTGAGTCTCACTAAATAACATCAAGTGTACATGTTGTTGACTCTAGTGTCTTGTATTTAGGAACAGTGTTGGACTGATTGTGGCTGTATGGAACAAACCGTATATATATATATATATATATATATATATAGTAGCATTTAATGTTTAGTACAACGTCTAGATGTTGTTATTATTGTTGACCTGTGCACTGAGTTGATTTTTCTGCTTTTGTGCTATGTTTTCCAAAGGTTGAAGATGAACCAAACAAAGTCTCTGATCCAGACCGAACAGCAATTAAAGCAAATATAATAAATTTGATGCTAAGCAGCCCAGAACAGATTCAAAAACAGGTACATACTCAGATGTTGCATTACCTTTTAAAGGATCTGATTCAAAGGTGTAAAGGAAGATGCTCAACCAACCCCCTCTTAATCCTTTGCATTTCCACAGTTGAGTGATGCCATCAGTATCATAGGAAGGGAGGATTTCCCTCAAAAATGGCCTGACTTACTAACTGAGATGGTGACCCGCTTCAGAAGTGGAGACTTCCACATCATCAATGGAGTGCTTCGTACTGCACATTCCATCTTCAAGAGGTAGAGCTGACTTCTTAATGGTTTAAAATGTTTTAATGATTACATTTGAACTGAATTGTTTATCCCCTCCCTCATTTTTTTTTTTTTTCAAGGTACCGCCACGAGTTCAAGTCAAATGAGCTTTGGACAGAGATCAAACTAGTACTGGACACATTCGCCCTACCTCTGACGGAGCTGTTCAAGGTTGTGATGACTTACAGTTCAATTACCACAACACACGAGTAGGGCTGCCCCCTCTTAGTGGAATAATTGGTTGTTTTGGTCTTAGTCGACTAAGATTGCTTTTGTCAATAAGTCATTTGTTTGGTTATTTCATGCTTAATTACTTATTTTCAAGAAACGTCTTCTCCTCCGCAGACTAAGCATGAGCTCTGAGCACAAACGCGTTTATACTGTATTCGCTGTTTGTTGCATTATTCTCCAAAACCGCCAGAGAGGGTACAAACAAAATCAACAGTGAAGAATCACAAAGACAACGCGTGTAGCACATAAATATGCCCATATACTGTATGTGTAACCGGTAAAAAGCCAGAAACCAACCTCCATAATCGAGGAGGGATTGTAATTATCTGAAATATCTCATATTCATGGACAAATGTATTGCCTTTGTACAAGCCCTGTAAATACACAAGTTAAGTATTACATGCTTTATAAAGAAACAAAGGTTGAATATCCTGTAAACAATTAGATTTTGCTGCAAAATATTTACTCGGATGAAGATTTTTAAGACCTCTTTCTAAAGCATCGCAAAACGAATTTGCCTATTTTGTATGATCACTCCAAATGTAAATAGTTTTTTTTATCAGTGAACTATATGTGACAGTTTAGAGGTGGTCCGCGCCAAGTTACAAAAACTCAGAGGCACACGACCACGTGCGCGCCAGTGGTGATGAGCTTTAGTCAACAAATAATTGCTTGGGTTAAGGACAGCCCTACTTATGAGTTGTTGTATACCATCTGATAAATGTTGACATGGATATGATGACGTTCCAATATGAAGTTGTATTTGTAGTTCATTTTCTCTCTTCTTTGCTGTAGGCCACCATTGAGTTGTGTCAGACTCACGCTACAGACGTCAATGCCTTGAAGGTCCTCTTCTCTTCCCTCACACTTATCTCCAAACTGTTCTACAGTCTTAACTTCCAGGTCAGTTCAATTTTGCATTGTTCTTAAAGGCTTTGCTGCTTTGGACAGTTGCATACAGCTTGAAACAGCTGCTATGTAAAGTGTCCTATATTGAGGACTTATGCTAACTCCATACTCACCATCTCACACATGGCAGGCTGCCAGGCTTGCAATACACTGGCAGAGTATGACAGGGAGACACACAGCTGACAACCTTGCAGCTACACCAATTGGTGCAGAGGAGACTTGCTGAGAAAGTGACTGCATGTGTCGACTACAATGCAGTCAATGCATAATTGTGGCTGTTAACTCTCCCGGTTGGGTGAACTGGGGACTCTGTTGTCTGCTTTGTGTGTACAATGCAGCTGGCGGTAGATGAAAAATTGAATATCAAAATAGTTTTGATTATTTTCCTGTCAGTTGTCTAATTGTTGTAACTCTAGATTTATCAGGTTATCGTTGTAGCTGGGCGGCTTGTAAGGCACTTGAACCACAGCACCCCTGCAATGCAAGATACTAATGTTGTCGGTTAACAGTTAATGATTGGTTAACGAGGGTCGGCCATCGGTCAGAAAATAATTAGCATCCCTATTACAGATGTTTTTGCAAAACGAATTGAAACACTTGATAGCCAATCACAACACTGAAGGGTATGATACATTTGCTCCACGTAGAGTTCAAGTCGGCTTCTTTTAGTAATCATGTACACTTTCATCAGAGACGTGGCATCAAATGTCCTCTGTACTATTACACAGGACCTGCCAGAGTTTTTTGAAGACAACATGGAAACCTGGATGACCAATTTCCACGGCCTATTGACTTTGGATAATAAACTTTTACAAACGGCTGTGAGTTATTTTTTCTCCTTTCTTTCATTCATGCAATACATTTTCAACTGTTGTACTATACTTTGAACTGTTCCGTGCTATGTGTTTGTGTTCGTCTCTTATGACCACTCCATAGGATGAGGAGGAAGCCGGTCTCCTGGAGCTGCTGAAGTCTCAGATCTGTGACAATGCGGCTCTCTACGCTCAGAAGTACGATGAAGAATTCCAGCCGTATCTGCCGCGCTTCGTCACTGCGATATGGAACCTTTTAGTTTCCACAGGCCAGGAAGTCAAATACGACCTGGTGAGAGTACCGATCCACGGCTGTGTTTCTGTGTTCTGTTCTTTTGAAGTTCACTTTCCCTGTACTAACTGTACACCTTGTCTTTGTTGCAGCTCGTAAGCAATGCCATCCAGTTCTTGGCATCAGTCTGCGAAAGGCCACACTACAAGCATCTATTTGAAGACCAGAATACACTCACTAGCATCTGTGAGAAGGTCATTGTGCCCAACATGGAGTTCAGAAGTAAGTAAATGCTTTGTTCTCATCATCAAATTGCTCCTGGAAATGTCATATGTGGTTTGCTGAGTCGGGGCTCTGCTTGCTTGGACACAAACGTTCACTTGTGTGCTGTGTGATACCGACCAGATCGCTTGTTCTGCCTAATTAGGTGCTGATGAGGAGGCCTTTGAAGATAACTCCGAGGAGTACATCCGGAGGGACCTTGAAGGATCTGGTAAATATTTAGATTATTGCTTCTCACCTCCCCTAATGTACATTATTTACATAAATATACATAAGAATATGTAGTTCCTCCTCTCATTTTGAGTTTGACTGTTGTTTGGGTGTCTCTCTCTCCTGGCAATCAACATTAGCTGGACTCCATATGCTCTATAGTTACATAATCAATTGGTTACACTTAAAACATTGCGTTTAAATAGAAGGTTTCCACATAAAATAAATGGATGGGTAACATAACCATGTCCCCCCATTGGTAACATTGTTCCTCATTGTTTCTCAGACATCGACACTCGTCGTAGGGCGGCATGTGACTTGGTGAGGGGCCTTTGTAAATTTTTCGAGGGCCCCGTCACAGCGATCTTCTCCGGCTATGTCAACTCAATGCTGGGCGAGTACGCCAAGAACCCCGGGGAGAACTGGAAACACAAAGATGCCGCCATCTATTTGGTCACATCACTGGCATCGAAAGCACAGACGCAGAAGGTATTGTTGACTTGAGTATTGAATCTAAAGCTGATAATACACTGAACATTTATAACCACTGTTTGATATGTGTTGAATAATTGGCTCAGTACTCTGTCTTTTTTTTTTATCAGCATGGAATAACACAAGCCAATGAGTTGGTGAATCTGAATGAGTTCTTTGTGAACCACATTCTCTCAGACTTGAAATCCCCCAACGGTAAGAATACCATTTATAAATGTGATGTAGAATTACAAAAAGTATTATGTACAACAGGTGCCTCACTTTAGCTTTGGCTCAGTGAGCTGTGGTGACTAATGTCTTAGTCTCACCTGTCATGTCCCGCTTCACTATATTATGATACAAAATATTGTCCAATGTATACACATGTATTAACATCACATACTTGTCATTGTAGTTAATGAGTTCCCAGTGCTCAAGGCAGATGCCATCAAGTATGTCATGATCTTCAGAAGCCAGGTATGAACTGTTACTTTCTCTGCAATATTTTCAAATTTCAAAATGCAAAATGAATACATTAGAGAGCTTCTTCGCCATCCTTTTCCTTCAGCTTCCGAAGGAGCAGCTGCTGCAGGCAGTTCCTCTGCTGATAAGTCACCTGCAGGCACAGAGCACAGTGGAGCACACCTACTCTGCTCATGCTCTGGAGAGGCTGTTCACCATGAGAGGCCCCAACACCACCACTCTGTAAATATGGAGCGATGTAGAAAAATAGACTGATATTTGTGTGAACCAAAGCAATTTGTGAATATTGCTCACGGGCATTAGGTGAAAGTGAGCATTTTTTCCATTTTTTTTATATTTACTAGGATGTGTGAAGTAATAACCAATTCCTAAAATTGGGAACATTGCGAATTAGTTGAGCTTTACTCCAGAGATCACTTCCCCTCACAGCAATGATAAGTACAGAAGGTCTTTGTCCATCTGTAGAGCTACTAAACCCATTACTTTAGCCAATCATCCTCTCTGTATGTTTTTCAGCATCACGCCAGCAGAGATGGCACCATTTACTGAACAGCTGCTCAACAACTTGTTCAAAGCACTGGCTCTTCCTGGTTCTGCTGAAAATGAATACATCATGAAAGGTAAACCTGACTCTCTGTCATCTAAATGCTCCTCATGCATGTTTCCGTTATTTTAAGTAGCCTCATCGTGTCTTTCTTTTAATCTTTACAGCCATCATGCGCAGCTTCTCCCTGCTGCAGGAGTCCATTGTCCCCTACGTTCCCACTCTGATTGGTCAGCTCACTCATAAGCTCCTCTTAGTCAGCAAGGTAATGCGCACTTTGTTACCATTTATGGATACACATAGACTCACCAAGATCCCGGTTTGTTCAGGGGGATACATGTGTCAACTCAAATCTCGGTCTCCCATTCCCAGAATCCCAGCAAGCCGCACTTTAACCACTACTTGTTTGAGTCCCTGTGCCTGTGTGTCCGGATCACCTGCAAGGCCAACCCCACCACGGTCAGCAGCTTCGAGGAAGCACTCTTCCCCGTCTTCACTGAGATCCTTCAGAGCGATGTCCAGGGTGCGTCACATTTGCCCATAGAATTTATCTACGTGTGTAGATGATGTGCTCGTAAACCCGGATGGTGGCTGAACAACTCGCACTCATCCTCCTTTTTGTCTTCTGTTGCAGAGTTTCTTCCATACGTGTTCCAGGTGATGTCTCTCCTCCTCGAGATCCACTCCAACTCTATTCCCTCTTCCTACATGGCTCTGTTCCCTCACCTGCTGCAGCCTGCGCTATGGGAACGGACAGGAAACATCCCCCCTCTGGTGCGCCTGCTTCAGGCTTACCTGGAGAAGGGAGGTGCCTCTATCGCCGGCTCTGCTGCAGATAAAATAGTAAGTGATGGCAGACCGTGTTGTGTACAACAGAACATTTTTTACTTTAACAGTGATTGTTTCCCGGTTGGTTTTATTCTTAACATTTATGTATTGTGATATTTATACATTATATTGACTCTTGAATCTCATCATGCTCATCTTTCCCTTCCAGCCGGGCTTGCTTGGAGTTTTCCAAAAGCTTATAGCCTCCAAAGCCAATGACCACCAAGGTTTCTACCTTCTCAACAGCATCATAGAGCACATGCCCCCGTGAGTTGATTATAGTTGTGTTCTCAGTGGATCATCTATAAAATATTGCACCTGGTGAAATGTATCTTGGTTAAAGTCATGGCATGTTTTGTTAACTTGAGCTGTTGTTGTTTTTGTTTTTGCCAGAGAATCTATCATTCAGTACAGGAAACAGATCTTCATTCTGCTGTTCCAGAGGCTCCAAAGCTCCAAAACCACCAAGTTCATCAAGAGTTAGTACAATCATCTCGTAACCAACAGTCGTGTTCTGTTCCGAGCTATTGAGCTCTCGAACATCGTCATTGACGGAGCGTGTGCCTTTAACTGGTGATATCAGCCGTCATAGTGAAAATGAACGGTCTTATGATGCCATTATTCTGTCTTTCTCACAGGTTTCTTGGTGTTTATCAACTTGTATGGTGTCAAATACGGAGCCATTGCACTTCAGGAGATTTTTGACAGCATTCAGCCAAAGTAAGTGTAATTTTTAATACAACCCACAAGAGTTATTGAGTGGGTTAGTCATCTATATGCATATTTATTATGAGTAATAGTTGCCTGAAATTTCACCGTGTGATGATGCTGGTGTCTTTCTCCTGCCTGCAGTAGAGTAACTATTTCCTGATCCCAATGCTTTTGTAGGTCTCTAGTGTATCTTATGTGAGGACAGAAGACCGGTGGTGAAATGTACAGTTTTAATCCTGATTGCTTTTTGTGTTGCAGAATGTTTGGTATGGTGTTGGAGAAAATAATTATTCCAGAGGTACAGAAGGTGTCTGGACCAGTTGAGAAGAAGATCTGCGCTGTTGGCATCACAAAAGTCCTGACTGAATGTCCTCCAATGATGGACACAGAGTACACGAAACTCTGGTAAGAGTCGGCCTGAAGGAAACGCAACCATTGTATTCCTCTTTTTCATGAAGTTACTTGGTGAAGACCCCTCACACACCCTCGCATCAAGACACTGTGGGAGTGTACACCTGTGTTTGATAGATTTGGTGTCCCCAAATTGTTGCCTACAGCTACATGGCAGAAACGCTCTCCTAATACATACTGGATGTGTTATTTGTTTTTTGTCCTGAGTAAACTTTAAGCAATGATTTTGGTTTTAACGTGTCTGTTCAGGACCCCTCTGCTGCAGGCGCTCATCGGTCTGTTTGAGTTGCCAGAAGACGACAGCATCCCGGATGACGAGCACTTCATCGACATTGAAGACACACCAGGCTATCAGACGGCATTCTCGCAACTGGCCTTCGCCGGGAGGAAGGAGCACGACCCGATAGGAGACTCTGTCGGCAATCCCAAGATCCTGCTGGCTCAGTCACTCTACAAGCTCTCTACTGCCTGCCCGGGAAGGGTATGTTAGACATGTGGGGAATATTTAGCACATTTTGCCAAAAGACATGTTGTGTGGTTATTTTCTTTCATTAAAATGACATGTTAAGATGATTGCGTAACTGCTGTGCTCCGGCGCAGATGATGCAGAAAGCAAATGAGTGATTCCTGCTTCTTGTCTCCATTTTTTATTTTATTTTGGTGCAGGTTCCCTCGATGCTGAGCACCAGTCTGAACGCAGAGGCCCTCCAGTATCTGCAGGGGTACTTGCAGGCAGCCACTGTGCAGTTGGTTTGAAACGGATGTGATGGTATTCACCTAATAAGGAGCCCACAATACACTGCAGGAGGCCTGAGGTCACATGACAGATCCTGCTTCAGCTGAATTTGGATCTTAACAGATTTGCTTTGACTTGACAGTTTATGATGGATTTTTAAGGGTTTTTAAAGATGTGACCAACACTTGACCTAAAAGGATTTGGATATCAAGTTCCAATATAATTGTCAGTTTATTTCATAAATGGCAGCAGCAGTATAGTTCAACAGTATTGTGGAACAGCTGAACATCACAATCATATGGGAGGGATTTCTTTAACGCTTCTTTTTGTATGTTTGAATTCCTTTTTATGCTTCTGGAGACTTCAGTCTGTGGCTCAGACATAATGGATCATATATGTTCTGTTGCATGTTATCGTCTAGTCTTTATTTCAAATGTTTGTTATTGTGAATAAAAAGAGGCACTTGTATAGATCTGTTATCATCACAGCCTCTTTTATATGAGAATAATGAATCTTGGTTTGTGAGTCTTACTGGCTCTTCAGCCTTCAGTTCAGAGGTAATTCACTAACTTTATTGATGAACAAGAAGGAGGAATTTGCTTTTCATGTAGCAAAAAGCCTGGCTGTCCTCCGGATCCAGTTATGGTTCTTTGTAACCAACCATACTGGGCTCTACCTTCACATAACAAATGAATATATTAAGATAATACAGTGTGAACCTTTTGGCATCTGCATTGGTCCATAAAGTTATAAGACAGACTGACGGAGGTCTTAGGATTTGATGTGACCGTTGGAGCTCTTCAGTTCCACATTCTTGATGAAGGGCAGCATGCATTTGTCACCTCCCATGAAGCGATATGTTGCCAGATTTGCCTCCCAAGGAAGTAATCTACAGAAAGGAAGGAAGGAAAACAAAATAGTCCAAAGTTGATTTATTTGTCTTGGTCCCAAAATATTTCTCTTTTTTTCCTCATCAATAATGGCCATAGCATTCACTCTATAATATACTCACGCTCGTGTCAGGAAGGGGATGTACATAATGCGAGGAATGCAGATCATTTGCTGTTCGGCTAAAATGGCTTTCATGGACTGCTGTACAGTGTAGAGAGGATCCAGAGGTGGAATTAGACTCCGAAGCTCCTTCCTGGTAGGTTTCAAACAAAAAGTGGAGACTATAGAACCTATGTTTTAATGACTACAAAAGTTGAAATGATGAATGGTGGCTTCTCACCTGATTTCACAGCCTGCAAACATCCCTGTGTCTACAATATAAGGGCAGACTAAAGTGGTTTTGATGCCGTCCATGTCGTCTGCGAGCAGCTCATGCGTCAGTGACTCGTGGAAACCGACGGCTCCAAATTTACTGGCACAGTAATCCTGAAAGATTGAATACCAGCATTTCTGTTCTTCAGAATGGATTGTTCTGGGATTTGTCTGTTCAGTTTGTGGTTGAAGTCATTAATCACGTCCCTTACCTCTACACACGCAGTGCTGAATAGTCCGAGAGCACTGGCAATGGTTACAATGTGACCGTGGTTCTTTACTTTCATCTGAGGCAGGAAGGCCTTTGTCATCTGTTGGATTATGAAAGTTGATTTTATTACAACAGAAATAAAGGTTTAATAAGCTGATCGACATCAACCCGAGGCAAGCCCTTCAAACACGTAGCAGCCTGCCATTTGACTACCACAAAAATACAAAAGATGCCAGATACATGGATCCCACAGGTCCTTGATATCACTGAAGGTTTGAGGGGACAAAATCAAGGCCCTGAAAGTGGGAAGGGGAAATGGTTTATTGAAGGTGCTTTAATTTATATATTGTGTGCGAGAATAGAAAAGTGTTTTTTCAGCTTCTGTAAAGCTAGTTCTCACTTTACAAAATGTTCAGTGTTCTAGCTGTAGTTAACCTTGATCTTTCTCTCAAACTATGCTGTTGGTTCCTTAAATTTAGAGGAATTGGGCCAGGAAAGTCATTAGAAGGTCCTTGAAGTTGATGTTTAAGAAGGTGTGGCAACCCTGCAAATATTACTCGAAACTATTGGGGATATCTGCAATACATATCCAGTATTCTATTAAATGTTAAAACAGGTTGCCCGCTGACTGCCATGTCAATAATATTGAGTTTACAATCAGTGTATTTGAATGTTGCCAATTGTGGAAAAACCTGTTTTTATTACTGGTGTCTTATTTTTAAAACCACAAAGTGATCCACAACATGAACCTGTGGCCTCATGAGGCTAGATTACCAAGGGGGCAACTGTTGAAGGGCTTCAAACCCTGAGAGACCCCCACCCCACGTACAAATACTACTAAATGCACAGAGAGAGGAAAGCGGCTGGAGTTTATTAGGAGCCCAGCATCTCATTGTTGCCCATTTGTCCACATACAGTAGGCTGTGGTGCAGCTGCCAACTATTCCCAACGGTGAGACATTCCCCTTTACCAGATCAGGTGCTGCATTAGAAATGCTTTCACTAAAATGAGCACCCACTCACTGCACGTCTGTCGCTGATATCTTGATGCTTGGTGCTAATGAGCTTACCCGTGTATTGTATGAGCACGGGACTGAGGCCTTAAGAGGATCAAGGGCGGGGGTCACATGATGCTGGTGGGCTCGCGTGGGCTCCTTTGATTCTGATGATGAGTGTTTGGGGTTAGTGCCACCTACTAGTAACGTCCTGTTAACCTGAACACATTCAACTGTCATTAGTGTAGTGACATAGTGTAGCTCTGCGGCAGCACAGGCTGCTCTGATCCCTTCACACATCAGTGCACAAATACAGACCCGGGCCAGCGGGGAGGACTACAACGAATAGATGTTACGTAAGTCATGACAGGATAGATGATGTTTACTGTGTCGAGCAAACTGGAGTTTTACGCTTTCAATTGTGCGTAAAAGGTGCGTGCGTCAGTCTCACCCAAAACAGCGCGTGGCAGTTCACCAGTAGAGTCCTCTCCAACAGCTCGTCGGGACAGTCCAGCAGCCTGCGTCCGGCCACCACGCCTGCGTTGTTGACCAGAATGGAGACATCCCCGACCTCCGCTCTCACCCTGTCCGCAGCCTCATAGATACCCTGACGCTTGGACAAGTCCACCGTGTACGTGTGCACCTGAACTCCCAGCTCCCGCGCCAGCTTGGCGGTCTGCTCGTTGGCAGCCGTGTTGCAGTCCCACAGCACCAGATGCGACCCCTCTTTGGCAAACTCCAGGGCGAACAGTCGACCCAGCACGCCCCCGGACCCCGTTATCAGACAGAGCTCTCCATCAATGCACTTCAGCCTCGGGCGTAGGAAAGTCTGGATGACGGCACTCAGGATGGAGTAGGTCAGGTCAATGAGCATCAGCACCAGGTCCACTATAAAAATCATGATGGTCCAGTCCTGTAAAAGAGCCAAATAAGCAGACCTCCAAGTGTTGGAGGAGTTGATTTTCTCTCTGTGACGCGGGATTGGACGGTAATTTTATATAACTTGTGTGTGTGCCCGGATTAGGACGCTGACGGATGGTGGCCACCAATAGAAAAGGCTTTTTGTCTGATGACCAAGGAGCTGTCTGACTAACCCGTGCACATTCATGACAAGCTCATAAACAGTGGCCGAGGCAGGGATTAAGAAAACACTCAAATCCAGAGTCAAAGCAGCATGTAACGCCATATTTTATATCATTAAACTGAGGGAGATGTATACATTTACCAGCATACTAATATTCAAGGTTTGTTTTTTTCTTCAGTATCTGGACCCTGTGGTTAGCAAACCATAATAGAACTTAACATATTTTTTATTTAACCAATAGCTTGTTATTGGAAAGTCGGTTCAGATAAATGCTTGGCACAAACAACACAAGCAGCGGCCTTCTTCCCATACACTCATCACCCCTGATGCTTTGGTTTTATACACAGGAACCCAAGTGACAATAAATACATTCCAGGTGGACACACTTTCATGCTAATGTAAGGTCTTTTCTGTGCGAAGGGTAGGTTCACATTTCTAAAGACAGTCGAATACTGCAACTTTAGAAAACACTTTAATTATCTAACCTGAACCATAATGTATTTATCTCACAGCAAATGATCTTCTCACAGATAGTATGGAGAGGAGGAATGATTACAGTAAGCAGAACTTTAACTTGCACACATGAACATGCTAGTAGCACAAATATTTTCTTTTTAAATAATGGAAAAAATAAAGAACCATGACCTTGAGCAGCAAAGCTAAAAGTATGCAGCACCTCTAGTTCTTTTCTGTCTCGAGGTTTTGCTGTGAGTCTGCTGAGACGGTGACACTGAGTTAGAGAAAACCCGCTTATTATCTGACTGGTTTTTAGTGTTTAGCATTCAAAGGCCTAATCATAATGGTGAGAAACAAAGGACTCAGTTCAAATGTATTTCCTGTGTTTAGTGTCAGGTGGCTGTAACTGAATAGGTATATAGTTACTTTAAATGATAGTCATTTTTAAATAAAGGCTGTCCTTCGTTTCTACCTGTAACCATTGGATTTAAGGAACACATTTGTTAGTCAAGTGACATTTTTAAAATATTAATAATTAATAATATCATTTTTTATGAAGAACTAGTGTCTTATAACTATATTTTGATTTGGGTAAAGCATCTACAGCTTTTGGAAAGTGAGCTGACAATAGGGTTAACTTCTTTTTCAGTTTTTTCCCTCAAACATGTTTTTTAGTAAGAGTTGTGTGGAAAAGATCACAATGAATGGTGTATTATGTAAAAGGTAACTCATAACTTAACTTACTCTTAGCTGTGTTTGACTTGTTATGTAAGATCTTCACCCCAGCAACAACTGACAACAGCAAACTAATTTGCACAAGCATAAGTTCAGTATGTTATCCATGACTGGTCACCTCTTACGTAGACATTCCTTTCATCTATAATAGAAAGTTATTCCTGATCCATGATGTGAGGTGGATTATCCAACTCACAGTAAAATGTTAAGGTGATAAACTGCTTAGCACGTGTGCAGAAATCCCTAATACAGTAGCATGCTTCTCACATTATATAAGTACTCTTCTTCTCCTGGTTACATTATTAACTATTCATCACAAGTATTGTACTTCTTCATTTCAATTCGCATCCGTGACAGAGTAAAAACAAATGTCATACAAAGAAGTCCCGGTATACTGTGTCAGAATCAAGGAGCAGAAGAAAGGAGATATACTACATCAGCTGCACTGAGGAAGCTGCAGGTGTGTCTGCGGCCGCAAGAGGGCGGAGCTCCACGACCAGAAAGGTGACACTCCGGAAATGATTGATTACCGGGTCATAGGCCAGGGCCACCTCAAGCACAATTACGTTTAGGTTCACATATGGGTTGTGGTTGTAACACGCGTCATTGTACCTGGCCGTATTAAAAATATAATGATGGTAGAACCCCTTTCAGCTCGTTTTGAATTTGAGGAGCGCAGTGGGACCAGAGAGGTCGACTGGACTGGTTATACTGGGACCAGAGAGGTCGACTGGACTGGTTATACTGGGACCAGAGAGGTCGACTGGACTGGTTATATTATGCTTTGAGAATGAACGAGTTGACAAGGTGAAGCGGGAGCAGACTGTGGAGGACTTCGCTGTGCCAAAGACTTGCAGGCTACCATTCAGACACGTGAGTACAACAACACACTGCTACGTCAACAACCGCTGCGTTACGGCAACGAGGTTACAAGCAACGTAGTTGCGTGTGCGCCCTACGCGGTGTTTAAAAACGTTGCCGTGTCTCCTTTGCTGTAATATGTGTGTTCGTGTCTTTCTCTGTGGGTCATTTACATGTCCTCGTTGTGTGCTTTGGTGATGTTTTATTCTACTGTTGGTTCTAAAAGAAGTTTCAAAATTTTTTAACTTAACTACTTTTTGCTTTTACCGAAGTACATTTTTACCCAAGTACTTTGAGTAAAGTTTCTTTAAAGTAACAGTACTTTTTGTTGAGTACCCTGTCCACCTCTCGAGGTCAAACGCATGATGGACACAGCATATTGTACATTTTGTCACAAACTTTATATTGCATCGCAATGGTAGGAAATGCTGACAAGGCAGTACAAAAATTAGAAAGAAAGTTGATTGACAGAAAATCATTTCAGTCATTTGTCCAGTAGCTTTGCTGGCTCCAGCTTACTAAATGTCATTTCTGCTTCTGTATGTTTATATAACTGGAAGTTGAATAGGCTATTTTGGGGTTTTGGACAGTTGTTCGGTCAAAATAAGACATTGTAAAAAAAAAAAAAAAAAAAATTCAGTATTTATTTGACATTTTCCTGGAAAAATAATTGAGAGAGAAATTGATAATAAAAACATGTTTTAACTGCAGCCCGTGACGTAACACTGGAGGGCGCTGTTGTACAAGAGTTCCATCCACGAACCACACGCTCAGTCATTGCACTCCCTGCTCGCTCTCATTTGTTACATTCCTCTTGTGTATTCAGTGTTTTTTTTTTTAATAGAAACACATTTCAGTTAACAAAGCGAGGCAACAACACCGGATTATTTTCTTTTATTAAGCATCAGTCAGTAAAAGGAGAAAATTGCTTCAAGGATGCTGATCATAGACATTTTCATATATCTTCTTCCATGATATTTACAAGTTCTTGTGAGTCAAAGTTTAACAGCGCGACATGCATTGAACAACAGGAAACCACGAAGATAGGACTCTACAAAGTCAACCTGTACAAAGTATGACATTTTACAAAACCACTTCCCCACACACAGTAAGGGCAGCGTACAGACCTTTGTGAGCTGAACAGAGGTGATTAATTCCATGAAGAAGGGGGAAGATTCGGAAAACTAAATGATGTGTCTGTATTTGGCTTAAAGCTCTAGTGTGGCTTATTGTGCTTAAATAAAATTAGATCGATACATAATGATATTATACCTTGTGCTTATGGAAAGTGTGTTTGAACCTTTGTATGTTGACATTTTATTTGCATGGTTACTAGAAAGCAGAGGATTTAATACAGAAAAATCAATAAAGTGCAGATCAGAAAACAAGAAAAAATATATAAAAAGCAATCTTGACATTGTTAACGTTCATCCAACAAAGGAAAGACTTGTTTCCATTTAAATAGACTGTGGCTTGTTTGGAAGTTAGTCCTCTATGACGATATTTTTCAGTATTTACTGCATGTCTGACTGTTGTGTGATGAATGTTAATGAATCTTTACGCCCTCCGTTTTCATCTATCTAGTCATTTTTGTGTTTCTCATGCCTTCATTAGTGAAAGTCATACAACCATTTGTCATTTTGACATCATTACCATGCAGTTTTAAGGGCTTGGCTGTTACAAAGCCCACACACCAGTGACTGTTTGTATAGTTTCCCGTAAGCTTCCATAGCCCCCCTTTTACCAGAGTCAAACTTTGTTTGTTCCTCCATGACTCTGCTGTAACTGAAACTTTCCTTCTGCACCAGGCTCTTCTTTTGCATACCCAGGATGATATTTATAGAATGACAGAAATCAACACATCCTCAAAAGGATGTTCCAACCCAACGTCATTATGCACAAAAGACTCGAGCACAATGCTGGTGCTGGGAATGGAAAAACACACCCCAGTGCATGAATGTGCATTATCTGGCTGCGTAACTTTCTCACAAAGCGTGATGACGATTGTCCTGTCTGAGGGAATGCTTTAAAAGAGACAGCCCACAGACAATGTTTGGAATGATCAGCCTGTGTATTAAGAGGCTGAATTTGAGGTGAAGAAGCAAAGCTCTACAGCAATCATTGGGGATGTCAGTTGTAATCAGGCTATTATCTGCTATTAGCATATGTCAGCAATATGTCTGACAGCATAATACACAGTTCTCTGTGTGTTTACTTTCTGTACAGTTTGTTTTAATAGTCATTTGGGCTCCATTAGACAGTGATTCAGTGTGTGGGTAAGGCGTATGTTAAAAAGCAAAGGCACGGAAATATCTATCTCGCATTATGTCTAAAGATTGCAAACAACCATACAGCATAAATACTTCTATTTCTTTAAGCGTAAAGTTCCACCACTAAAAATAGATGCTTTTGTAGCATGCTCGCATGTTATGTTGTAAAGTTAATAATGCTATAACACCATGCTTGCATGAGTAATGTAATAAAGAGCACGAGCGCATCAGATGATCAACACCCAGGTCGGGTGCAGACAGAAAAGCTGGAACAGGATTTTTGGTTTAACTACAGCGGCCTACAGACATATGAGGTACCTCCATGCTGTTTGTGTGCTTGAGCTGAAGTGGCTTTATGTTTTCTAAGAGATGTCATGTGAACTCGTATGAGCGTAATGTCTTGGATCCCTGGAAGCAAACATCTTGCCGAGATTCACAGTGTGTAAATAATCAAATTAGCTTTCGGGATGGATGTAAAAGTGCTGTGTTCCCTCTTCATTTACCGTCCAGACTCTCTTTTCATTCCCCGTCAACAGCTTTCCTCTGAAGAGGCCAGTCCTCTCGTCTGCATACATGTTTGTACCGAATGAGCAAGCATGGTTCCCTGAAATATGTCAGACCTAAAAAAGGAATGCTTCAATTTCTTACATTTTTGAGAGAAAACAGTAAAATGTACCATCATCTGTACGAGTTATCAGAAAGAACGATTCTTTGGTTCTTCACATTGCACAAAGGATAGAGGGACATACAGGAGACAGTGGCAAACAATACAAAGTTGTCTACTACAGTATATTGTCTAACAAATGCAACTCCATCAAAATAATGCCGTACACATATCGAAATTCAAAACTACGAGATTAGCACAGTATATTTGTCTAAAAGTCCATTCCTTTAGAAATATATCATAAAAATATACATTTTCATTATTTTCCTTGTACAATAAATGTGTGCTTTTTGTAATATTCTGCTTGTGTAGTTGTACATGTACAATAATCACATTCCTTCCAGCTATAGTGAAGCTCATTTTATGTGAAGTTCAGTCTGTCAGCTACAACAGGAAGGATGACACCTTTTGAGAAAGTTTTGAAATAACACACAAGACTTCTAGATTTTCTCCAGATTAAAACTGATTACACCAATACAAAGAAGGATAAAGAGGTTTTTTTTTGTTTTTTTTCTGTGTTCACAGTAAAGATAATTATCATGTTAAGGTGCTCTCTCTTGCCAGCCGTCGGGCACAAGAAGTAAATCAATGGATGCAGCCTCACAGTGTCTCTCTGTGTCTACATGTGTTCTGTGCAGCAAAGAATATAGACCAGCAAGACAATAAACTTAGACACAAATACTTTCTCCTCAAGGTCACACTTAAGAGATCAAGAACGCTACATAACAATAAATATACTGTGAATATATATATATATATATATATATTTATTTATGTATGTATGTATGTATGTATGTGCTGTCTGTCTGTCTGTGGCTCTTTCTCCCTCATACAAACACAAACACAACACAACTAAGGCCAGTTTTGAGGAAGGAAGTTAAAGGAAGCAAACTGTACATTTATCCAACACACTGTTGCTTTTGTAATGCCACAATTATACACTTATACATTAACTGATAACTTAAAGAGACACGCAAGTTCCCTCGTCACACGACAACAAAGTTATATGAACCACAGCTGAGTGAGTTTCTCATCTTGCAGAGCAGTGTTTCAATGCTTTCTCTGGTTTGCTACGAACTGGACAGCTTTTGTTGTAGTTGCTTTATCCAGGGATGTCAGAAAATAGGATTTTGCTTATAAAAATGATATCCTTCACTCTTACAACTAGGCTGGAATTTATATATGTCTATCTGGACTAAAATAAATGTATAAATAGTAAAAACAATCAGACGGGCATTCCTTGCCATTTTTTAAAAACCTCTTAGATCAGAGTCTTCTGCTAAAGTGATTAATTCAGGAGTCTTAGAAAAAGCTCGAGAGTAAAACACAAACATCTTTCCCATTGTCCACAGCTATTTCCATGACACAAGCATTTTTTTATGAATTTCTTCAAATGTTCCTGCAAATGTTTTCAGTGCCTTTTCATATTTTTGGGAAGTTCAGTTTTGCTAAATTCCCTGTGCTTCTTAAATTTCCCTTTTTGCTTCCTCATCTGCTGTTTGTTTCCTTCATGGCCTCTCCCTTATTGTACCTTTAAGTGTTCAAGTGACCCTTCTCTCCCTGAAGTGGTTGTAGTTCCTGAGCCACATGGTTCTCCTGCCCTTCTGCCGGCAGTGTGCTGTTCCCCAGCTTCGTCTGCAGGCCCTCCTTGGCCCCTTGCTGGAAGCTGGAGTGAAACCCGGGGCTTGCTCTTTTCAGGAGTCTTTGGGAGGGATTGATGCCTGAAACATCATGCAGGTGCTCCTCCTCATCTGTGTCAGCGTCGATGAATTTATTGATGGATGCATCATGGAAAGTGAAGAGGCTGCTGGGCAGTAAATTCTCCGGGCTCTTGCTGGGTGTCCTACTTCTGGCAGTTGTATAGACGGACTCCTCAGGGCTCTGGACTGACGAGCTGTCTGAGAGGGCCCCTGTCCCTAAATCCTCCCCATCTCTGAAGTTGACCTTGAGAGAGTGGCTTTTGAGTGGGTTCTTGAAGCGCAGAGCCCTGGGACTGTCAGCATATGGGCCGAGCTTGGTGCCTCGTCCTGTCTGGGGTGTATTGGTACCCTGGGATCCTTCATGCTCACTCTCCAAAGTGGGCTCCAGGCTAGGGTGAGTGCTGACCTTACCTGGCATGCTGCTGACGGGGCTGTGGGAAAAGCGAAAGCTCTCGGGGAGGTCAGTGGTGCAGCTAATGAAGCTGTCAATGCTGGACATGTTTCTCATGTCTGCAACTGTTTCTGCTTTGCTTGTGATGGCTTCAGCGGTGATGCTTCCCATCTCTATTTCTGCTCTCTGCCTCACTGCTTTGGACGGTGGGCCCTTTTCCTTGCTGTTGAGGTTGGTATGTGACTGGGCCTTGGCCAGGTTATTGTACATCTCCTCCAGTTTCCGTGCGCTAAGATGCTGAGGGCTGCTAGAGGGCTTGGCCTGCTCTTGGTAGCTTGATTCGAGGGTCTTGCTGGGGCTCATCTGTGACCTGAGTTTGGGTGTCCCTTTCTGCACACTAGGAGTCACGTGATTATCATGCATCTTCTCCGTTTTTTCATCAGTATTTTCCACTATAATATCCATAAGCTCTTCATTGCGGCCCAATGCATCTTTCATGTTCATAGAAACAATGCTGCCATTTCTCTTAGCCCTCTCCAGAGCCTCCCTTCTTTTGATGGCTTTCTCCTGCCTCTTTTGCTCTTTGTAGAACTCAGAGAAGTTATTCACAATAATGGGGATAGGCAGGGCTATCACCAGTACTCCGGCAATGCAGCACAATCCTCCAACTATCTTTCCCAGCAGAGTTTTTGGGTAGATATCGCCATAGCCTACTGTTGTCATAGTAATGGTAGCCCACCAGAAAGAAGCTGGGATGCTTTTGAACTTTGTGTCCTCTTCATCCTTTTCGGCAAAGAACACCAGACTGGAGAATATCATGATGCCCATGGCTAAGAAAAGGATAAGCAGGCCCAGCTCATTGTAACTCCTCCTGAGAGTGAAGCCTAGAGACTGAAGACCTGTGGAGTGACGGGCCAGCTTCAAAATACGCAAGATCCGCATGATCCGGAAAATCTGAACCACACGGCGGACGTTCTGAAATTGCAGCACACTCTTGTTGGATTCTGTCAAAAAGATGGTGACGTAGTAGGGCAGGATGGCCAACAAGTCGATGATATTCAGCGGACCCTTAAAGAACTTCCACTTGTTGGGGGAGGAGAGGAAGCGAAGCAGGTACTCCATAGTAAACCAGGCAATACACACAGCTTCCACATGGGCCAGTTGCGGGTTGTCTGTGGATTGACCAAACTCATCTGTGTCCTGCAGCTCTGGAAGGGTGTTCAGAGACAAAGCGATGGTAGACAGCACAATGAAGAGGATGGAGATAATTGCCAGGATCTGGAAAACAAAAAACGGAAGAAAACAGTGAAAAATACTGATGAATACATAGTAATGTCTACGGAATATACCCTGGTGCTGTATACCCTTCTTTTTCCTAGGGGTAGCAATGCCTGTCAATCTAAACTGAAATAGCACAACAAATATTGGATGGATTATCATGACATTTTGTGCACATGTTTAAGGTCCTCAGAGGATGAATCCTGCAAACTTTGGTGATCCCATGATTTTTCATTTGGTACCATCATCAGGTCAATATTTTAATTTGCGCAATACTTTTATTGCACATATCAGTAAATGTTAGCATGCTAACAGCCTAAATGAAGACGGGGGGCATGGTAATGACTACCTGCTGAACATCAGCATGTTAGCATTATCACTGTAAGCATGTTAGCATTTAGTTCAAAGTATCGCTGTGCCTCACTGCCAGCAAGGCTGTAGACACAGTCCTGTTCAGTAATTTGTAGTTTATAAAGTTCTCTTGAGGGTCACCTTGAAAAAGAGCTCACTTTATAAAGTTTGAGTGTGTGTTTGTTAGGTGACAAATACAAAGAACTTATTAGTATGTGCATACACAATATGGATGGCTTCAGACTAATTGCTTGTTCAATCTTTTAATCTTTGTGAAACAAGCAGCAAACGCTTCATCATCAGCACATCGCTGCACTGATGATGGTCGAGACTGAAACGATCAAAAGACCGCACGGAACATGCAATAACTCTGAAGCCATCTGTTTTGTTTTTGTGAGAGGTTCCTTCTCATAAGTTTGTACCACACTTTAAACTTTCATTTTGACAATTATACTTACAACAAACAAGAAAAAATAGTTCCTGGTGGTATTTCCACACCATGCATCACTCACTTGGCCTCTTTGTGATTTGCAATGTTAAAAGGTATATGAAAGGCCCGGATGTGACGGTGACCAGTGGAGCTAAAGTTAGCAGTTGCCCCTGAACTACATGCTGAAAGTTAAAACGCTCCATCAAAGTGAAATAGTGCTTTAACAATGTCAGAGGAAGAAGGTTAATCCCATGAGAAACGCCATTACAATGTGTCAAAGCGGGGCGATTCCATTTGAGACACGAAATTGCATTTCAGAAACGACTAAAATATCCCAACTAGCGATGGCATTTACTGATCATATTTGTTCACGGCCCATTTCACTTTCTGGCTACTTTCTCCGAAGTCTTCATGAAATGTCATGTCAGCATTTCAAAAGAAATGGGGTTGGAGCTAAGGCGATCTCTGGGGCAGATGTTTTTGTTCTTTCTCTTCAAGTCATGACATGCATTACAGAGAGAGACAGTGAAGGACGGAGACGAGAGAGTTTGAGATTGAATTGATACATTTTGAAAACCTCTGTCACACTTCACCGTCTCTCCGTTTCTATACAGTATGCTTCAATCCTTCAACGTCCAAGGCTACAAGAAGACCGCAATGTATTACTTGTTTTTACAGCGCACACCATGCATGGCCAATGAGCCTGCCTGAGAGACAACTGGAGACCTCTGAAGCATTGAGCCACTTACTAAAGATATAATCTGCCGAGTACAATAGGGTCTCATCACAGTCCTGGGGATTAAGAAGGCTGCACAGTTGTAGGTGTGCCACACCTATTATTCCTGTCCCGGAGTCGGTGTGAAATCCATCACAAGGTCACTGTGGAGGCTGTGTCCCAGGCCAGTGGTGAGCAGGATTATTCCCTGGCGCCAATCAGCGGCCATAAACTTGAATTAATCTTGACAGGTGACTGCTTGCACGTCTACCTTGGCCTTTGAGGAGAGAGGGACTAAAAGCAGAGACGCCCTGCTGTGGTGGAGGTAAGAGAGGGCAGGAGAAAGGCCAGAGGAAAGGCATTTCAACTTCAGCAGCCAAATAGTTCAGCTGTGAGAGTGTAGTAAATTAAATGGCAAACGAAAAATGTAAACTCTATCGGAGCAATCCCTGAAATAGCCTGCCTCCCAGTCTGGATCCCTTGAGACCAAAGTGATGGATGAAAAGTCTCAAATAGAACCCATTAGAGGTAGATGTCTTGTTGCTAACATTACCATCAGTAAAGTTGGGGATGTAGAGGTCAGATTATCAGACACTGCAAAGTCTGCAGAGGTTGGAAAAGGAAAATTGTACCATTGATTGAGCAGCAACATTTCTAAAGACAAAGAGGCATTGACTACTGAGCCTCAGATCTAAAATGGACCATCTGGAAACCACACTCGTCAGATCAACACAAATCTATGTTGATGCACTGACTAGGCCTGAGCTTCGCCAATAAATCATGCTGAATACAAAAGACAGCGTTTGAATTTAGGTGTGTAGTGTGTTTGGAGAACAACCAAAGCATGACCAGCTCAACCTCCCATCAAATTCTTTCTCTTACTCACCTTTTTCCCTCCCACACAGAGAGTACTCCAAACCGGGGTCATCCAGAGAGAAGATTTATTGGGATGTGATCTCACCACAGAGATACAGACAGAGGAAGAGAGGAGTGTCTGCTGAGGACACTCAGCACTCTGACAAATCTGTGACACAGAGGGAATGTGGCAAACCAGTCTAAGCCTTGCTGATGAAACTTGTGAGTTTCCTTGGTTAGTCAATGTGATGTGAGTGCGTATGTATGATTTGTGTATGTAATTGTAATGACACTGTTTTACAAACTCTTCCTCATCTTTACTGGGTTTGCCCTTTTCCCCACTATGAACTGAATCAATGGAGGTATTGTTAGACTTAGTGACTCACTCACTTTATTTTCCCTTGGCATGTTGAGTGCAAGGTGACATCTCTAATCCTGTTATTGTATTACCACTTGTGATTTGCCAATAAATGTTGTCTGGCTTTGTGTGCTGACAGCTGACCTTCCTCCTACAGAGTCTGTTGTGGTTCTGCTGTAGTTCCCTCTGTGAGATGCAGTGTCAGTGTTTTTGTTTTAACCTAATACTTCAATGGAAAAGATGGATAGAATTACGCTGCCAGTAAACAAAGTTGAGAAGCCCTTTGCAGCTGCAAACACTTCCTCCCCAGGGTTACTATCACCTTCTTGGAAAGTTCCACACGGGGACCGAGGTGCAATGAAACTATTCTCACCTGCTGCCCTTTTATATAAACTAATGACAATTAACTCCTTAGCATACAGTTTACCCTTACGTAGTATTAGGGCGGCCTTGTTAACTAGTGTAACAATATAGTTCAGTTTTGTGTTTTCAATCATTTTTAGATTGAGATCTATGGCTCAAAGAAATAAGCTGTATCAGGTTTCAACTTCACAAACAATACTTTCAAACTGATACATTCATTGACGGTTTTAGTCTTTTTATGGGATTTGTTGAAAGTGAGAAAATATTTAATATCACCAGACTCATCCTTTAAAATCCACACCAACAATATTACTTATTCTGTTTGGGTTGTTCCAACTCTTTGTTGGAGAAACCCAAAAAGTTGTTTTCATGGCTACACTTTTCCATCAAATGGAAATATTCAAAATATTCAAAATGACATATTTAGCATCTTTAAAAAGTTCTGAATTTCCACCAGAATTCAACCTTTGTGCCTCACGTTAAAAAGCTGCTCTGATGTCCTTAAAAGAAAAAATATTAGTCAAAATCCGCCATAAAATTAGGCTATAATAATATTATTTTCCACTTTCACAGTCGGATCTTTTCATTAACTTTAAATACTTTAAATGCCCCCCCCCCCCCCACAAAAATGTAATTATTTCCTGTATATTAAAAGCTAGTTTGTTTGTTTTTTCGCTGTCTGGGATATGTCAATGATTTGCAACGACATTCATTTTGATACATTGCATCAAATCCTGCAGCGCTTCATAACACAGCTACAATAACCCTAGTGGAAACCAGGGACAAGCATGAACAAAAGGTTAAGCCAGGGCTGTAGATCGAAAGCCTGATATAATAAAATGCATGATTTAATGCTGTCATAGCAGTTGGATCAAAGGTTGTTGTTTTAATGAGTATCAATGGGGACATTTTTGTCCTCAAGGGTCCGTGGGTCTGTATTTTGGCTTCACAGTTTAGGCTTATTATATATAGCAGCTGAGGCTGACATTTACATTAACACTGTCCTGACCTTGTAAACATTTTTTAAAGTAAAACATGTAAAAGTCAAACATGTCCCTACTTGGACACAATAGTTAAAATACAGGTCTGCGTTTTCAAACAATATTTGCCGGCATGAGTTTGTAATGACTAACCCATCTGCAGGGCTTTTAACTTAGTCAAGCAACAGCCTTTACTGTAAATACTAGAAATGTAGACATTACCTGTCCCAAATGATGGCATAAGAGACGGAACAGATTTGACTCGAGAACAGCAGCAGTAACCACCGACGTAAGCTCTGAGAGGTCAGCGGTCTTTCACTGATGCTTAGTTTTCCTAAATACTGTAAAATTCAAATTTTGTTTTCCATTAATTTTATTATGGTTTGGCGGAAAAGTGTTTTATTCAGTTTTGTAAAGCATTTTATCATTTAGTAATTTATACGCACATTGTTCACAGATGTTGAGCTGAAAATGAGAGAGCTTGAAAAAGATCAAATTGATATGAAAAGATGACAAATATACAACAATAAAGAGGAACAATGAATAAGTAGGAGCAATGATAACGGGCCTTTTTAAAAATGATTACTTTACATCACATTCCGTTTGAGAAGCAATGAGCGGTTTCTAGTTATATAAGTGTCCCCGGTACAACTTCCCCATCTGTTTCTAAACCAAAGAATCTCCCAAATTGACTAGACCCCCTGTGTCTCACACAGATGTGCCCGCCGCCTCATATCACCTTGGCTGCCAAGCTTTTCTGACCCACCTTTAAGTATCTATCTATCTATCTATCTATCTATCTATCTATCTATCTATCTATCTATCTATCTATCTATCTATCTATCTATCTATCTATCTATCTATCTATCTATCTATCTATCTATCTATCTATCTATCTCGGGGAGCATGTGCCTACCCTGTGCTGAGGAGGAGACGGGGAGATGGATG